TTTCGCGCCGCGATATATAATGGGACACCTCTCGATATAAATTTCGAGAGGGAGTCTGGATAGAACAGAGTGGGCGCTTTTTCGTTACGGTGGGGAGAGAAAAAAAAAGAAGCGCAAGAGACTAAGCGTATAAAGTTTCACGCTCGTCGAGGACCGTAATAATTTTTCCTGTACGGCAATAAGAGATCTCTTAATTACTTCTAATTTTAAATTCACAAAGAGGTTGGCTTCAAAGCGCAGTCCGGACATTTATGATGAAGAATTTATGCAGATAAAATTTTACATGGGTAATTAGATCTTTTCTGAAAGAGACCCCTTGCCTCTTCCGGGGGTGATGTTAAAACCTGAACGCCGGAATTAATGTAAACGTCATTTAAACATATACACGTCCAATACTCCACGTCGAAATTCCTTGGATATCTTGCCTTCTATTTCACCGTAAAAGCATAATCAATCATCCCGCAATAATTGTACACGAAACGTACAATTGTAAGGAGGACTTGTTTGTCTTGCTGACTGACGAACGATCAATTGGCTGAAGATTTTTAGGCCCCATCCATCTCTATTGAGTAAATGCGACAGCAATGATCCCAAAAATTTCGTCAAGCGAATGGAGGTGAACTCTGAATTCGTCGAAGGATCGTTAAATTAAAGCGGATGCCCTACAGCCCGGTTGTATCAATCAACCCTTCCTTACCGTCAGCTCGCAATTAATCATGTCATACGAGACACTAATTGTAAGTCAACGTTAGCACGAAAATGCTAAAGAATTAATATGCCATGTTCCTTTTTATTCGTCGACGCTGTGCAAGGGTGTTGCACGTGTCTGCGCCCCCGGAGACGCGCGACAGAGTCGAACCTTTATGATCGACCAGTGCGGCTTGTAATTCTCGCGTGTCAGGAGGAGGAGTGGTGAGGGGGAGAGGGGAGGGAGAAAGGGGGTTTCTCGCCGTATCAATGAGAGTCAAAGGCCGCGACAAAGAAAATTCCTTCTCGATACTGCAAAAGTGCCGGGGAAAATTCCTCGGTCCTCCCTCGGTATCTTACACGTTCTCGCGCGCGGTGCACTTTTTATTACCGCCGTCGACTTGACTCCGACCGCGACGCTAGGGCTTCTTTTTACGTTGATTTGTGCGCGCTCTTCACGAGCGATCCCTGTCTCTTATTTTATCCCTCGCTCCGCTCCTTCCCCTCAACTTTCCTCTGTTCTTCGCTGCGTGTCCCACGATTATTTAATGCAATTCGAAGATTGAATCTCGTTCCCGTATATGTTAATCCGCGCCGCAAATCATGCGACATTTACATTTTCCGTTACGGTAGCGTACGTCAGTCACGTTTCGAATTGACGTGGCTTTAACACACATTGCTAGAAGAGGTAATTGTCAATGGATGCCGTATGACTAATCACTCCATACATGCACATATGTATAGGTAGACCGATTAACCTATATATACAGCCTTGGCCATAAATACAAAGCACTTTCAATTTATTTTGCGTTTTTTTTTTAGAAAAGGTGGTAATAAAAGCTAAAGAAGTAACAAAATATTAAAATTGTTATAAAAACAAATATTATTTTTCAGTATAACTGTTTTTAATTTATTTTTCATTAGACATAAAATGTTTATGTTAATTTGTAGGAGTGCATATAAAAATAATGTATATATATAATGATAATAATAATTTTAATAAATGAAAATAATAATGTTGTAATTGTTTGCTTAAATTTTTTATTTTTTACACGCGCGCGCGCGCGTGCACGTGTGTGTATATGTGTGTAAAAAATAAAAAATTTAAGTAAACAATTACAAAATTATTATTTTCATTTCTCACAATTTTTTATAGGAAATCTATGAATAAGTATGTGTCAGATAAAATACTTATTACTTATTGCACAATTGGTCAAAGACCGGAAACGTAACGTATGAATTCATGCAAAAACATCTGAGCCCAAGTGAATCCGCGGCAGGTCAGGCAACCAGTAACGAATGGAACTATAATTTATCCGGTTAATGCAAAATCCGTAGATTCACCATAACCGAGACTTTGCATTGACAGCCTCCCACTGTATACATGTCGCAGTAAATTTGCGATTGGATGATTGCGTTTTAATGTCGCTCACCACACGCAATCTGATGTATTTCGGAGCGCAGGTGGACCGCAGCGGCCGATTTAATCGCGGCCGCATCTCAAGTAATCTGGCTCCGCTGTGTTCGATATTGAGTATCGAATTTCCTCACGTTCCATTTATCGTGCTTATTAAATTGTCCAGCGATGATAGGGATGACGTGTGAAAGATGGAGAGAGAGAGAGAGAGAGAGAGAGAGAGAGAGAGAGAGAGAGATGAAAGCTTCTTTAGAAATACAGATTCAGCAACGTTATCGGTCGCAATAAGGTTCACACAGGCATTTTATTATGGTCGTCGGTATTTATTAGCTCTCGTTATCTCTTTGGAACAATTGCTCTAATTTTTGTAGTCGAGCACCAATGGAATCCCGTTGGCTTATACTAATTGCCTCAGGAAATTCGTGCTATCTCAGGAATTCCTCAACTTTCTGCGTAACATTCCATAAATAACTACTTGGCTATTTCATTCTCGCGAATTTTCTTATGCGTGGGGGGCTAACGCTAGCGACGCTATATTCGCTTTCGTGTTTGCTTTCGGTGTTTCTTGCAGCGTGTCCTGAATGCTTGATGATACTGCACTTAGTTTTGTGCCACGACGCTAGCGTGGGGGCTAGGAAATCTTCACATATGTGCTTCTCTCAAGAATTTCTTCTTTCACCCTAACTCAACGTTTCCCTAGTTTTATTTCACGACGAGCCCAATTGCAGTGTGTTTACACATCCCTTCTACCTTTAATAGCTCTCGTATAAAACGATCCGTTCGTCCGTCTCGAAGAAAAGGAGATTTCGTGAGTTTTAAGAGCGCAGCAAGTTCAGCGCGAGTGAAATGGAATAGGAAAAAGCTCAATATACTCGCAGATGTGCCCGATGTCCTGTGCCATTTCTCCGCCCCAGCAGCAAATTGCAGCCGTGTTAACTTTAAAAACTTTCGCTGTTTCTTACTCGTAAATCGAAAGCGTAAAGCTCGTTTAATTGTTTTGTCATATTTTTGTAGCAGTTCTCCCGCCCCGCGCGTATCCTGATGTATATCTTATTGCAACCGACTGCGAAATTTGAAGTTTTATGAAACAGTATTACGAGACGCGGCAACTTTCGAACAATTTAGCTCCCCGAGTTCTAAATGAATTTTTAAGTTACAGCGCGAGCGTTAATGTATCTCTAGAACGAGGCGGTTTGAAACATATTTATTTTCATACTACTCGCGTCATGACCAAGATTTGAACTTTCATCATTTATTTAAGCGGACTAACAAGATTTCGCTCGGAAAAATCTTACTCGCTCACGTACGCGACAGGCAATATGATCCTTTGCTAATAAAATAAAAAACGGCTTGATCTGATTTCAGTTTAGCCATGTCAATCGAACCAGTCAATCGACCTGGAATCCCTTTGAATCGCGATACACATCGCATAATTCAGGAGCCATTGATCGACGTGCGTAGGTGCGTTTGATCACGTAAGCGGCGGCGGATTTCACAATTTCTGGACGAGGAGGAGGATGTCGCGTTGATCTCGTCGAACACGTCCCTTTTTTCTCGGCTCAACGAGATGTCGCATCGGCGAGCTGCCGCATGTCAACGTCGGCAAACGCCCGGGTTCACGCCAATCATTGCCCGCCGCACCGCCGGTTAATTGTCGAACGCGAAATTTCATTGGTCTCTTTCCGAGTGTTCGGCCGATCGGGCAGGTATAACGCAGCTTCGTTCAGGTGCCCCCGAACGCGTTAAACGTTGCGGGCCACGCACACGTGCCTGAAGGCTGTCACGCAAGAATATAATCCACGAACGAGGTATCGACCGCGGATCGTATTAGCGGCGATCGTTTCCTCTACGCCTGACCTGGCGCGGCTTAATCGCGTCACGTTCTCATCCTCATCCTCTTTTCTGGCTATACGCGCGGCCCGTGCCGACGCATGCATCGGACGATCTTGCGACATCAAACTGACATCGTGGCGAGGAACTATAATGATCGCACTGCTATGGGCGTTGTCGACGTAAATGACATAGTTGTCCGAAGCAACCATCGACCGGGTAAACTGCTGGCTGCAAAAATTTGCACGCGTAACACCTGGGTGTATGAATTTCTAATAATAGAACACGCAGCAGTGTAACACGTGTAGTAGGGTACAGCAGAGTAATTTGGATAATAGTAAGCATTTGCAAGAATTTCAGAAAAATAAGCAATTTTAGGATACGTTTCATTATATCAGATATTGATGTAATGAAATGTATCTTAAAATCTCTTTTTTTTTTAATTCTTGCAAATGCTTACTATTATCCCACTATTCAAATTACCCCGCTGCTGTAACCTATACATAGATAAATTTAATTTTGTAATATCCGTATTTTCGTAATTTAGTATCTTCTAAGAGAGCTCCCCGTATTAATGCTTCCAAAGAAATTAATTTACTCAATCAATATCCTTCATCGTATTCCTACCAATATTTTATTCAGAGACAAATCAATTTCGAAATCGTTTCGTTAGGATCTTTTAGGACGAGATTTAGCAAGTTTAATTGAAGGATTTGAGTATCCAAAGTATCTATATTCTTGCTGTTTACATATCTTGTAAAAGCGGTTACACAAGAGCGATGAAAGAGCTGTGCGAGGCTGTCTGATATTTATAGCGGAGCTTGAAACACATATTTATAAAAGTCTAGCCTTCCAGAATTTATGGGAATAGCTATCTTTTCAACGGATACACCGTGATCTCCCGCGAAATCAGTTGTATTAACGTTAGAGCAGCCGAGGATTATGCGTGTTGTTCATGAAAAATTCAGAAAATCCGCGGAACATGGAAAAAGGTAGAGCCCTACTTAATATGAATGTCACATTTTACAAAATATAATTCTTCCCTTCTTTTTTCTGGAGCAGTTACCTCTTTTCTGCGTTTCATAATCCTTGCAACAAGATTTTGTACTCTTCAAACGTGATTACGTTACGCCTTTCTTCGACGGAGCGGCGAAACGCCTTGCGACGCGATATAAAGTCGTGTCATTATAGCGACGAGATTTTCCGATACAAAAAGAATGTACATTATAATTCCATTTAGAGAGGCGGAGAACGAAACTTGAGAAACGCGTACCGTAGGTATAACAGCGTCACTGAAATGACTGGTGCTTTTAAAAACATAAAACTAATCGCTTAATACGCAAATATCTAGTGCAGCAGATTTCTTTGACATTTATTTACGTGGCACAAATCGTTAATATTATCTTTATAGACGGTTACGTACCGTGTAATTAAATACGATAGCGCGTTCGCGATACGATATTTCACTCAGCATCGCATTTGTTCGTGTAGTGTGAAAATTGCTCACAGATACCCTCCCCCCGCCCCGCTCCTAGAACGCATTTCCGTCGCGATGAAGTTTTTGCATTCAATGATATCAATGCAATTTCAGGGATACAATCGAACGACGCGACACGGTGGGGTATCTAATCGGGGGGGATATTAATTTCAGGAAGCGAAGGCCTTGATGCAACGATAACACCCATCCGCGAGCGCCGATTCAGACTCTTTCAGAGCCCCATTGCATGATTTTAAAAGCTCGTTACGAGAAATTGAATACCGTGACGCGCTCCTATTTATATTTAGCGCACTATTGACGCTATTGAACAACATATGTTATTGCGAATAAAGCTCATCCACGATCGATATCATCTGCCGCGTATGTAAAGTCCTTTGTTTCGTTTTTTTTGTGGGGGGAGGGGAGATATTCGCGCAGAAATCCATAGCTGTCATTGCGAAATGTTACGACTATGAAAGCAAGTTCGATTTTAATTTCGAATGCCGTACATAACGCGCGACGCTGATACGTTTTTTTAATTAATAGCGCGGACAATTGGGAGTTGGCGATTTATATATAGAGAGAAGGAGGCGTAGCGTATAGTTCGGTGACTATTAAATGTCATCCGACTCGAAATATGTTATTAAATACTTGTAACGCATGCGCTTGAGTGCCGATCGTAAATTGCATAATTACCGGCTCGCGCGTGCTCGCGCGCGAGATCGCGATTGCATTGCGCTCTCAAAATTCGCTCCTCCCCCGCCTTCCCGTCACGCTCCGTCAATCTCCATTAAATAGTGCCGACGCGCATCGCGATTTTCTCGATTGCGTGATTTTCAGTAGCCCGGTTTCGCGTGTACGCGCGCGGATACCAGGGCTTATCGTATTTATTCGCGCTAATCAAAGGTCGCATTATGCGATAGAGCGGCCGGATATTGTATGAGTGCGCTTGTGTGTAATGTAAACGCGCGAGCGACCCACAGCGAGAGAACTCCGGTCCGATAAGTTATAAAAATGTTAAAAAAGTTATGCAAAAATGAGGCGTCCGGCTTGGCCGTTACTGTGGAAATTACTGTTTTGAGAAATTAAAATTCCAACAATGCGTTTTCCTAATGGTAATTTGCTATTAGTCTGAATTAAAATTCACGAAGTTCCGGTGTTGATAGTGACGTGCGCGATGACGCGTTAAAATGTTTTCAACACGCTAATGCAACGTTAACAGTCTTCGACTTCTGCCTAAAACGATACGGGATTTTGTTGATATCTTGTTTGTAAAATTATACGAAGCACGAGACGGGCCGTTTGCAAGTAATTATACAGTCGAAACAGAGTTTCCGAAATTCGGAAAAACGGATCACGTTTCGAATTCGACTCTAATTTAATTTCGCATCTTCACGTATTCACGTATTCATTTTTCCTTCGCGCTCTGCATTTTTATTTCCTTTGAAAATAAAACTGTGGCTGGTGTTCTGAAACTTTCATTTCCACATAATACTCGAGTTAAAAAATTATCTGACTCGCGAGCGGTCGTTTTTGCTCGCACAAACTTCTTAGCTTATTGTTAGCTTAATGAGGTGATCAAATTTTCCACTGATTTCCGATAAAGAGAGAGAAAGAGAGAGTAAATTAACTATCGCAAATTATCGTAATGGTAATTATTGGCTTTCGAAGTGGCCGCCAAAAAAAAATAATAAAGACGAATCGATATTTTTTATTATCTTAAACGAACGTTATTTTTCGCATGACTCGTGAATGTGTCCCGCCGAGCGAAGCCGCGTAATAAAAAGTTTGCGCGCGAAGTATAGCAGAGAGACATTTATTGCTGGGAAGCGCGTTCTTATATTATATACTTTCGCCGCTAAGCAGGACACCGTCGAAGATGCACTAACGTGGAACTTATCACTATTAAAGGCCATCGTTTTCTCTTCCGCGCAGTTCTTACTGCACTAATTAAATGCAGCCCTCATGTCGATGGTACGCGAGCGAGGGCACTCGATGGATGGGCTCTCCGCGAAGTGATAAAAGGCATCCCCCGACTTCCAAAACTAAGTACTCCCGTCGCCTAATGGACGCTAACTTAAGACAGGGGGTGAGGTTTTCCAGCGCGCGTTGCGGTTGATCTTGGTTACCCTTCTCCACTTTGCACTTCCTTCCCTGTCTTCTTCCCCCCTCCCCACCCTCTCTCTCTCTCTCTCTCTTTTTCTTTTTCTCAAATCGAAAGTCCCCGCAAATGCGCGCACTTGAAAATAATTGAAAACTCACCGGGAATTAAACCGGGGATGGGAAATGGATCGGAGAACGTCGTTTCCTCGAAAAGTGTTCCTCGCACGCGTTTACGCGTTTACAATATATGCGTGCGTGCAGGGGATGCGATGCGCGAATACGGGATTGTAAGGGTTGGACGGTCGCAACGGGCCGCGCGCCTCCACGATACTGGCCGGCCGTCTCGCGGCACTCGCCTCTCGCGACGCCGGCAGCCCAGAGCGCGTACTCCAGACGCCGACCTATCGCGGCCCGTCGTCCAAACTCGGGGTCCACCGCCGATGGGTTTCCGCGCCGCCGATGCAGAGCTTTTCACCACACCGTGAAAGCCCTCGTCTCGGTCGGAGCCGGAAGCGGAACCGAGAATACGCAATTCCATTCGCAGAAAGCGCATTTTTCTCGAAAAAAGAGAAGAAAAAAAGAGATGGATTCCGGAGACGATCCCGGTGCCTCGAGATCAAAACGTCTCGCAGCGTCGTATTGCAGCAAATAATGTATGTAAAAAATTGTACGTACGGGGATTAAATTTATAATTTGCAAAAATTCCCCCCTCCTCTTTCTCTCTCAATCGAAACCTTTCCGTTATCTTGTGTAATGTACGACATAAATCCGTATCATACACGGGATTTCGGATTTATCGACAGCTATGTGTCACACATTTTTTTGGAGAAGGTATTTCCACAATTTCACACTCTGGACGATATCGACTGAAACACGTATCCTGCTACCATTGATAGAGACAATCTGGGACGCTGTGTTAACTCATCAAACTGCAAATTTAAATATCGAAAATCACGAATTTTACGAAAAAATTATATTTGCTTATCGGTTTTACTATCTATTAATATTTCGATTGTATATATATATATATACATTTATTTGTTTAATCTTAATTTAACGTTTTAAATATCATTTATATTTCGATAGATTTCAGAAGTTAACTGAAAATATAAATTAATACTTCGTCTTTTTTGAGGGCATATACTAAAACGCTCGTGCAAATAAAATATATTGACGTTTTTGGTTTTTTTTTGCGTACGAAATCGGCAATAATAAATGGCTAATTCGGCGGTGAAAGTGTCAACCTTTAGACTACAACGACTATTTGTCATCTAATGTTGTTTTATAACGAGTCGTTTGATTGCTTACGACAATCCCATTTATATGCATTAAAGCCATACGTATGTGACTTTTCTCCTGCTGCCTGCCACTCAATTTTACGTTGGAATTCAATCTCGAGTTTGTCGATTGAAACGTGTGCGTTTTATTCGCTTTTCAGCCCCCGTGGGATATATCAATCTCAGTCAATAATTTTTATCTACCGAAGAGTTATTTTGTATCTGTCTATGAGCAACAAAAGCCATTCCTATTATACTTTGAAATGAAACATGTTTCTTAATGTCTGATAATAGCTTCTAGTTTATCATGCGATCCTTCGTTATTCGAAACGTTTGCGAAACTATCTGTTATAATCGGCGTTATAAAAGATTTATCAAAGTCAGACTTTTTACATCGTTATTTTTTTTTAAGCTACGCATTAATATCTTGAAATATCAAATGTCTTGAAACGTGCTGACAAGTTCAGGCATTCAGAAAAGCTACGTATCACCTGTGTTGCTGGTAAGTCGTATTTTCCAATAAATTAGCCCGCCTGTATAGGGAGTGTGGCTTGCGAAATATTATCTTCAAACGTTCACGTGATCAGAAAAAAAGTGCCGGTTTTAACTCAATATCACGATGCGAGAGAGAGAGAGGGGAGACGTGCATTTCTAATTTATTATACAAAGAAAAATGCGAGACTTTTTTTCCTCACTTTCCTTGAGAGGGAATTTGTATATTTTTATACTACATACGGAGGAATTGTCAGCACCGAAATGGATTTCGAATTAACAACCTTTTAAATTGACGTTACAGTCGTTGTGTATAAGGCCCGCTATTGTTCTCTGAAATTCAGTTGCAATAAAATTTGACGGTAGATTCCGGACGAAATAAAAATGGCGTTGCCACGCGAACCGGACGGTAATTACGTGCGACACACGCGATTCATTATTTTACGAAACAGCATGGCTTTTAATTGTTCTGCAATTCCAGTGAAACGCACTCATATAATGGGATGTAGGTGCGACTGGAATTATGAATATGTTGACCCATTCTGGGACTGGATTAGATGAAATGTGAAATTTATTTATAACATTATATATATATGTATATATATATATATATAAAATATAGAAATATTTATCGAGTCATACCTTTGAGGAATCCTTGCAGTACATTTTGCATAAGTCTAATATGTCATACATATATACGAGAATTTCTATGAAATAAATTATAATAGAATTATCTATTTGGTTGATTTCATTTCCGTCGGGATATTACATTGGCGCCGTACCACCCCCGTAACAGAACGTACGTTTTTATTGATCCATTATCTAATAGAAACAATAGAGTCGACATCGTGGCTTCTCGTCGCGTAAGCGTAATTTTCGTCACCGGATATTTAACATTAACTAAAGCTCCGAGTGTGTTTTTCCATCTGTTGAAGATATAACGTGTGGAAACATATGACCGTAACAATTTCTAGATACTTAAAAAAGGCTTTATCCACAAACCATCGTCGATTCTATCACTCTACAGAGACGACGTTTTAATCCATTGAATATTCACAAGTAATAAGTTTTCCTAATAATGAAGAATAACGAAAAAGCAATTTTCCTCGATGAAAACGTGGAATGTTCTCTGCAAGCGCCTGCACTATTTAGGTCAATAAAAATTTTCTAGAATATTAATACAAACTGAAAAGCGAATGAGAGAGAGAGAGATCGGAAGAGCACAGGGGGGGGGGAGGAGGGAGAGGCAGAAAATAGATTGCATTCAATGTACATTATTTAAAATATGGATAAAATAAAAAGAATAAAGAATACGGAAATAAAACAAATATTCATATTTGTCTCTCGTTGCATTTCCGCTTCTCGTTCCTGATACTATTTCACGTATTTCGCTTCTTCATGTCATATGCAACACTGTAAATACGTACCTGTGGTATCTCTCTTTTTTTGTTTTCAAGCGTGTAACTTAAACGACAGGTCACATGCGTGACAAGATAGATCTCATGGTGTCGCGTATTTGTGAAATTTTTTTCGCGTTTCAACCGTACCCTCTAATTACACGGATAATCGAATTGGCGAAAAAAAAGTACGATCGGGATTATACACCGGTTGGCGTATTGCGAGCTCGATGATTGGAATATTTTCAATTACTTATGCACACAGCGCTTTCAATTGTCACTTTGACCGAATGAACGTTCAGCCAATTACAGTGCAGACGCAATATTGAAATGACACGATCACTGGCACACGCGTCACAAAAAGAAAATAGAAAAACGAGGACGGTTGGAAATGCATAAACGGCCGTAAATCCCGCTATTAATGTAATGACACATGTAACGACTTGCTGTCGTTTGTTATAAGAGAGTCATTTTACAAAATTAATTGGTTGTGTTTAATGAAATGTGAAGCGCTCTCTCTTTCTCTCTCTCTCTCTCTCTCTCTCTCTCTCTCTCTCTCTCTCTCTCTTTCTCGTTTAAAGTTGTTGACTTTTTATTTATACAAGAGTTATTAGTGGCTACCCCTGGAAAATTTTATGATCAAGTTCGAGTAAGTTTATGTAATGCTGCTCTACAAGAAATAATAGTAAACATGCACAAACACGCGCGGTTTATTCCAAGCTGACCGACACTCTATTTACTACTCGTGTATCTCGCGTAATTTATGTGAATCGAGATCCAACTGAAAACTGTGTCAAAGTCCTTCGTAAGTACGATTTAATCTTGCGTAATTAATATGATTACATCGCGCGCGCTTGTCGTCCATCTTGTCAGTCTCGCGTAACTTAATCCTTCATTGTCGCTTGCGTTTTCTTGCTCTTCTAATTACATTCCTTCTTTTCTCAAGTGAAGAAACCGGCTAAATTTCAATTAGCTTCAACTAATAATTATGAGAAGAACTTTAAAGCGAATAGCGGAAACAAACGGCGTGACGATTACTGGCTAGTTATTAACTGAAACAATGCTCTATGTAATCAAATGATCTATATGATCTTTAAAATCTTTATGATCTTTCTAATAACTCCAAAATATCAATTGTTTTATTCATTATATCGTAGATTATATATTTCTATTATATATTTCTGAATAATTATAGAATGTAAAGAGCTTATCCGTTCTACGCTTTTACCCAATTTTGCAATTTACCTTGCAAAATTCGAAGAGGACGAGAGGGGGAGTGGAATAACAATGCTTATAGATAAGTTCGCTCAAAAATATACGCGAGAAGCAGGACAGAAAGTTTTTCGCGAGATTCCCTCTCGCGTCACGCTCATTTTAATTGAATCAATTACACGCTCCATTATTCGAAGCGTTCCGCGAATCGACGTCCGTTTCCGATTCTTTGGAACCGACGCCACCGGGAAAAAATACTTTATCAGCGTCCGTATGGTGTGACGTACGAGCTTTCCGCAATACGTTTTTCCTTCTCTTGTTTCCATCCGGGCCAGAGTTACACATAGATATCCGTATTATTCCAGATTGTTCGGACGTCAGAGAGGCCGATGTTAGCCGTGTCCAACTTCGCTAAGGGCGAACCGTTATTCCGGGATGAAATAGAGCTCGTGAGAATTGCGTATTTGTCACCCACGTAATATAGGTAAGTCATGTGAAAAATATTATCTAAGTATAAAGATGGATACATATACACATATACACATGTATGTGAAGAAATAACTCGGTTTGCAATTTGTCATTTTAATATTGTAGCGTTGATAAATAAAAACAGGTGTTAATAAATAACACGCTTTTGTTACGTAAAGTTTTCGTTGCTGACGTACAATCGTAGCTTCTTTTGAAAATATTTAAATTCGAGCACACGTTCTACATTTATTATCGCCAGTGTACATCCCGTCATTTTTTTTTCAAATTAACGCGAGAATAATTTCAACACATATCGCATATATTCAGCGCCGTGTTTGCCAACGCTGAAAATGATCAAATTTTATTTTACCCGAAAAAAGCAATAACGAGAGAACCCGATATTATAAACGATAGCGATATCCGGCGCGATTACACATCGGCATTTGGCCTCATAACTATTTTCACACATACGATAAAATATTTCCCATACCGAAGCATATTGATGTCGGCCAAGTATGTTCCCAATACAGGAATCCGGCGCAGCATCTCGCTATTTTGATCAAATACTGAACTTATAATTTAGAAACGACACTGAAATTAAATCTTATCGATGTATCAAGCTATTATTATAAAAATTACATCTTCCTATCAAATTTTTACGTGTTGTACCATTTATTTATATTAGCGCTCTTTAAAGTTCTTCCCATACTTATTATAGTTTTTCGTTAAACAAAAATTGGTTGAGAGAATGTATTAAAAAAAATTTGTAAAAAAACGAAGATTTGAGTTATCTTAGATCGAAACTATCGAAGATCTGACAACGAAGTTTGCCCGTATATACGCACTATATATAATATTTAACAGATTCTTCAAAGGATTCATTGAGAACAATTTAATTGTATCTTATTTCTTTCTCTTTCTCTCTCTAGCCTTTCGATGTAATTACGTGTGGTCATTAAACCGCCGCAATTTTCTTAATGCAATCTAAAGAAGTAAATCGGAAGAAAGGCAGTCTGAATAGGAAAGTAGATCAGAGTCGCGAAAGAGCTGCTTTAACGTATTTATTTGAGGGATTTGGCGGAAGGGAGTCTTAAGAATTGCAAAAGAAATTTTATCGGAATGAAATATACTTAGCATTATCGCGACGAGGATTTGAATCAGTCTACGGAAAAGAGAATAGTAGCAATGATTTAAATAAATACATTATTTATTTCAGAATGAACTAAGAAACTTTCTCTTTTGTATTGCTTTTTTTATAATCTAAATATACCACAATTATTAATACAAATTATTAATAAAATAATAAATTGAATTAAAATTTATTCATTCTTCTTTGAATATTTTATGTTTAAAAAATGCATATGTGCATATAAAATACATAATTTTATGAGGTGGTATATGGAGTTATGGAAATTTTTACTATCAGTCTATTCTTTTCTTGTGAAATCTTGTAAATCATTTTTAAACAATACACGTTTTCCTACATGAATTAGGAAATATATAATCAGTCTTCAATTTATGTACATACAGAAAATTACATTCTTTTTTTAGTAAAAATATTATTTCTATTCATATGTTAATTTTTAATATATTCTATAATTATACAAAAAAGAGCATTTTTTGTATTTTAATAAAAATGTTTGCTTATATAACAAATATTAATTTAAATATATGTTTAACATATGTTTACGTATTTTTTATAGGAATACTCGCATATTTTAACTAAAAAGATTACTTATAGAAAATATATCTTTGAGCTTTTCATGTTCAGTCGCATAGAAAATGTATGCATTCTATATTTTCATTGTAATAACATATCAAAGTTATTAAGAATTCTTTTTAGAAAATATGAAACTATTCGTGTGTTTTATTCGCTTGAGTGTAATACATTGAATCCAAAAAGCATTTTGTAAAATCACCGACCACACTTCGATCCGGGATACTTTGACTCATTCCATACATTGCAAGCTGAAAAATACCGATATTTTAAAACGTAAATCTATTTAGAATTACAAATTTTAGTTGCTTTTACCTTTCCTTTCACTGGAATATTTCTGGTTTCCATAATCATTTCCAATTCTGTACTAACATCCTCCAAAAATTGATCAGCGACTCCTGGCTGAGTATGCACATGTGTAACGCATATGTGAATACCGCATGGGAATTGCAGCGTGTTCAAATTCCAGCCTTTGTCACTAAGAGCTTCCGATAGTCTATAGATATGAAATTCATTGGATCCTATTGCAACGACAGATGTGGCTGGTGTGCCAAACACAAAAATTCCATCCATTTGCCTCAACCTATTAAATTTGGTTTTTAAAAAATTCGTATATATTATTATTTTTTTTTTTCAATCGATTTTGATATCAATGTATCTTCGAATGCATACTTTTGTTCGATATATCTGGTGGTTTCGATTATCTTTTTTGTTGATTGCACATATTCGTCGTAGCCATAGAACATTAATGTTGCCCAACAAGTGGCTATGATGCCACCGGCACGAGAACCATTTATTGTCGGTGAACCGTAAATACCGCCAGGCCATTCTGTTGTCACTGTATATTGCTTATGTCGATATTTTTTGTTTCGATAAAGAATGATTGAAGATCCTTTCGGAGCATATCCATACTGAAAAAAAGAATCATATGATCTACACATGCTTCATACAGAGTACAATCTTATATACATATAGACGAATACTTTATGAGTATCAGCTGATATGCTGGTCACACCAGGAAGCCTAAAGTCGAAAGGTGGTAAGGGATAACCAGCATCAGACATAAAACAGGCAAGAAAACCGCCCAGACAGGCATCTACGTGAATGGGTATATCGTACTTTATACCCAATTCAGATATCGCTTCGATATTATCCATTGTTCCGTAGGGGAAATTCGGAGCAGATCCTACTAACTGTAACAGAAATACGTAATTTTAAACTCGAAGTTTAGGATAGTGTTTGCGCAGCTGCACTATGCGGCATCTTACCATTATAGTATTTTTTGTAATTGATTTTTTCATGGCTTTTATGCAAACTGTAAAACTATTTGGATTGACAGGTACGGAACATATTTTTATGTTCAAGTATTGCGCAGCTTTATCAAACGCTGCATGAGCGGTAACCGGCATCACTATCTCTGGTTTTTTTATGCCTTTGACGTCACGAGCATAATCTCTGTATGCTTTGCATGCTAATAAAATTGACTCCGTACCTCCCGTAGTCATCTGAAATGTTCATTGGAGAAATTCAATATGTCATATCTTAACATCAAATTTACATGACTCTACATAAATTCTAAAAATAATAGAAAAGAGCTACTTGCAGTTCCACATGATTCTTTGTCCCCATTGAACAAGTGGCAGGCTATCCTAACTACTTCTGCCTCCATTTTACAAATCCCAGGAAATACGTCAGGATGTAATGGATTAGTGTACGATGCAACTGCATATACATTTCCCATCAGCTCTGCAAGTTCATTGTTGGTTCTGTAAACTGCACCTGATACACGACCTCCTTCCCAATTATAATCTCCTTAAAAAATGAATGACAAAGTTAAAATACTGAAATTTCTAAAACATTGTTGAACAAAACATTATTGAAGGTAATTAGGTAGTGAATTTACCTAAGTGAATGTACTGCTTTACTAAGTTTAATATCTTTTCATTTTTTAATCCACTTTTGGGAAGTTGCACAATGAACGAGGCTTCCTTGAGTCTGCGCAAAACATCCTTTTCAAAGCTTTCGTTAACATTAACTAGTTCCGTATTTATTCTGTCACGTATAGAGGGAATATAACGAGCTAGTCTAAACAGCTGTTTTTTGCCACGTTCTAAAAGACCTGTACAACATACATAAACATATATATGCCACGATAACTATAATTATGATAAGAGTAATTTTCTTTAAAAAAAAATTGACAATGATAAAATGTAATTATTGTATTATGTTCGACCTGTATATGGAGACACATTTAATATTGCAATACTTACTCTCATCCTGACAGACAAAAGTCCATAACCACACTGTAGCGAGGGTGGCTGTGCTCGTCATAGCCGCTATTTGCCACGGTTCCTTATTTTGAAATACATTGTTTATAGCTTTCGGTATAGTATCCACTTGAAGATGCATATTTTTCTAAAAATAACATTAAATGCACATTAAATGCAATTATATACGACCGTATAACATCATATCGTCTATAAACATGCGTCAACCGAAACGTTTGTCACGTGTCAGGCTGTTAAGACTTTGGACTTGGTTAAGGATCCATGACTGATAATCGCTTAAATAATTTCACGCTCACCTGAATTTCAACGGACTGTTAGCGACGCGGACAATCGTAATTTTTGTCCAACAAAGTGACTCGGCGCTTTTCACCTTCCACGCACTCACAAGATAACGCTGTCCCACAGCGACAATACGTACTCCGGGAGTAAAAGTTTCCAGGCGTCAACACCGAGCAGACGATACACGAGGCTCCGGAGCACTGCTCCGATCTCACGAGCGTCTGCGCTTGAAAGACCCTCACGCGCTAACGCCCTCTCGACTATGACAAGAAAAAGAGAAAGAAAGAGAGGGGAAGACAGAGATATAAAGAGACAAAGAGAAAGAAAGAGAAAGAAAGGAAATTTTAAATAGACGTGCTGAAGAGTTATAACAGGTTGTTTGTCAAGATAGGAAAAGGTCATAAATGATGGATCCGCGCGATATTGCAAAATCATTGACACCTCGTGACGTCGACGTGTTAAGCCGTTGAAATAAATAGCCTAAATAAATAACTGCTCATGATGATGAGGCATTACATTAAAATATTTGAAGTTTATTGGGCCTTCACTTTATCTTCATAATTTCTTCGCGATATGTCGCAAAGCCTTGAAAATGTCCTCGTCGTTATCGCAGATCGCGCGCGGAAAACTTAGTATATCTTTGACTGATTAACTTCATCGGCGATTAATTTCGCAAACAGCCAAAGTCTGCCGAAAACAGGTTTTGTAGAGTATCTATACTTTGCAAATTTTGTCAGTAAAATACAATAGAATCTGCTAGCAGAATACGAGAGCAAATAGACTGTAGAAACTAATTATAAGTAAAATCTGATATTTCGTAACCATTTAAATGATACGTTCCATTTAAATAGTCACGAAATGACAGACTCTGCACGGTTTCCGCTGGTAATTTACTGCCAGATTATATTGGTAAGTTCTGCTGGCAGAAGAGAGCTTAATGCAGTTGATGCCAATTTGTCGCGATATTCGTTTGAATCTCCTGGCAAATTGCCAACATTTTGCTTAATGTGAGTTATCAAGAAATACCTGTGCTAACATAGATAGAATAATTCTTTTGTTACTTAATATATGAATAAAAAATTAGAATAAAAAACTGTAGCTAACAGAAATTTTGCAGGAATAATTTATCGAGTGACACCTGCAGTATTTTATTAGATATTATTTCAGATTTATAGGATGATTTTTTTGTCGCTCGACATGTGGAAAGAAAATGAATTAGAGAGGAAAAATAAAGTTATAATTTTGCTATAAGTAATTATTGAATTAATTATTAGTCAATTAAGTTAAAATCAAAGTTCAGTCATGGTAAAAATCGTCGCAAGTAGGAAGTGATGAGTCACGTTCGCGTTTACACGTGATAGTTTTTCTTTTTTTTTATTTACAAATAGTCGATAATCGTATAATGTACTTGGTAACAAAATTACATTGCACATATACAGAATTATCGTTAGCACTAAGGCAAGAACTGAATTAACAATATGTATCGCGTTCGTACGAGAGAACTCGTCCCAATCGGACACAGTGTGTGTGTGTGTGTGTGTGTGTGTGCATGTGTGTGTGTGTGTGTGTATGTGTGTGTTGTGTGTGTGGAATTATCGTCTCCTTAAGATATACTCAGTCGTGAAATTTACATGACAGCGTTCTTACTCTTTCTTCCTTCAAGCACAATTATAAATCGCTACATCGATGAGAGGAGAGAAATGAAGCATCCAACACAGGAGGAGAGGGTATTAACATATGTGGATTAACTAGAGGAGCTAGGCCGAACAGTTTGGAGCTTAGTCACGGTTAAGTGCCCAGGGGGGAGCGGGTGAGACAAACGATAGGATTGGGTCACCATTTCGCGCATCAATCCCGGATTCTTTTTCTTCTTTATCGTAACTTGGGGAAACGCGGTGCGCAGTCTAAACGTGGAGTGTATAACGCGCGGAAATAACGACAAGCTCTCCGGAGGCGGGAGATATGGGCCGTTCACATCATTGTTTGCGCCGCTGAAACTCGAGTGTTAATCGCTGCGCATTAATAAATAGGCGGTTTCGTGTCAAATGCAAATGTAGGCACTCTATTTACCGGCGTTGAAAGCGTCGCGCGATTCTAATAGCTGCGCTAAGAAAGTCCCACGAGGATTTACAAGGAGAATCGTACGTAAATCTCTGTCTCGCTTTATGCGTGCGGACAATCACAGCGTCGATTATTTGACTAGAAAAACGTCTTATCGTAAGGCGAATTCAGGCTAAGCGGGAAACCGGAATGAGCACGAAGGGACGAATTGTTTGGATGAGATGTCGCGAAGAAGCTCGAATTTTACATCGACGGATAAATGTATCGCCTCTTATCTCGGTGCGTCATAGAAAAAGTCGTCGTTACGATCGTCGTGAATATTTCTTCACGATCGTTTTTGCCAGTCTGGAGCTACCTTTACGCGATGTAATTTGTAATTTACGCGGCATTCGTATATAATTTTATGAGAATTCTGTCGATTAATCGCAAAAGTGCACACGCCATATTACGTGGGATTTTGCGATTCACTCGTGATTGCTTCAATTTGCAAAAAACCGCTGCCTATTTGCCCATTGCATATTCAAGGAGCACCTCTCGGAGGGGCCGTATGATATGACGTAACGCATTATTTATGTTCCGTTTTATTTTTTGGGTGACTCAAGTCCGTTTTGCTCGGCTGAGGATACAACATTTTCGCGCAACGCAAACGAGATATATTTCGATATCGGATGGCGGAATGAGATGCTAATCAAATCGCGCGCGCGTATAATACCAACTTTTTTTTCCCGGTTGCAATATCGCCTCTCGTTCACCGATTAGGGATAACTGACTCGATGATTCCTCCGTTTTCTTTTTGTTCGAGAAAAAAAATATCTCCTGTGCCTGTGTCGCTCGAATACAAAATTCTAATCGGATGAAGATAAACTTTCTCCGGCGGATACACCGCGCGCGCTCGCGAGTGAAAGAGAAATCTGCGCTATGGAAAATACAAAATCCTTCGCTCTGTCGTTCTATACGAAGTGCTCGCGAACCCGTGCCGGTCGACCTGGCGCCCATTTATCGGGAAACCACGCGATTTCCGAGAAAGTCTCATCATTCTGACCTAGTCTACATTCCAGCGAACTCGATTGAATACATCTTGAAGCCACCTGCGTCGCTGCACGAGCTCGCGATTCGCGTTCGCGGCATTTACGTTAAAGTAAAGCCGCCTTCGATCGTGTGTTACGATTACTTGCCGCGGCTCACGAATGGGAATTAAAGATAATAGATAAGGACGACTAGAAAAAATGGATTAATCGTACGACCTACCGTTCTGTACTTCGACGATTAGTTAGCGAATACCCGGCGAGAATATATGATTCTCTACAAAACGCTGTCATTAACGTCGTCCGTGAGAGTGGAGCGTCACGAAGGTGAAGGTGCGAATGCAGCGTGAATTCGAGACGCGCGACTCGCGTATCAAATAGAGCTGTCAATTCGGTAATGCCGTTTAAATCTGCACCGAAAAACAGATCCCGTATGAAAATCTTGAGTTTCCCTTGCCGATCTTGAAATTTACACGGCGATTTCGCATTACTCCCTCGATGATCTGTATGTTGTCGTATGCGTATAGCAACGAAGGGAAGAGAGTGATACGATCTACGATGCATGTACCGCAGAATATTACCGTTCCTTCTTGTCTCGGAGCGCCCTTCTCGTCACGGAGCTCGACGCGGCGTATATTTTTCGCTGGTAGCAGCACTTGTGTACCTAATAGGCCTGATATCGATCGCGTTCGCGCTATGAATATGAAACCGACGAAGTGAGCACCACGGTGATCATGCGACTAAGGATTAAGTATTACAGACAACGACGTTTTATCCCGTCGCATACGCTCGCATATACACGTGCATTACTTTCGCTCTGACCTTTCGATCCCCTCTGCTCTTAGGATTTAGTCTGTCCTGTTATCATTTAATGGCGAAGACCACATTACAGGCCGGACGTCAAATGTTACGTTACTATCATTACTCTTATTATCGTTATTATTATTAATATTATTATCATTATCATTATCGTTACCATTATTATCGTTATTTTCACCATACGCGTTAAGAAACATTTAATTGAACAACATGAAACTGTCGCCCGCAGCCGTGCGAGTCTGTCATATATTTATATATAGTATATGTATATAAAATTCGAATACACACCCGGCGGACCGCAAAAATGAACGAGGTGAACCTTTAACAGCGTCGCTAGACTCCAACGTGTCGCATAAACTATACAAAAATGAGCGCTCGAAGTTGGGAGAAACGAAATATTTTGGACGGTACGACGAAGAAGCGTTCAACGAAACGTTACATAGCTGCCGCAAAATCTTTGTGTTCCACTCAAATTCAAATCGCTCGAAACTGCACTCGCGAATTAGCGTATATCTCATTAGCTCATTGCACATCGATTTGCCCAAATCTCGACAAAAATCGCCGAGCGATTTCCTTGGGTCTATGTGATCCTTTCCCCGGCCACGGTAGGATCGGCGCGCAGTTGAAAAGTTACGCGAGTCGGTCAGCCGTTGTCATCAAAAATGTGTGTCCACCGATACCATTCTCACCGGACGAATCGCGACTGGCGAATCGAGCTTCGCACGATCCTGACGATCGAACAATCTTGCAGACTTTCATCCCAATTTAGGATCGACCATTTCCGATTCTTCGACTCTTCGAGACGCGCGCCTCCCAAATGCAGGCATCTTGCAGCTTCTTAGCATTTCTTTCACCGTATAACTTCGACGTGTTGGAGAGTGACAGTTACTTAAGCCGCTGCGTGACATTCGCCAGGGCAACGGCAAACGCCTGCAAAGCGCTGAACGGATATTGAAAATCCAACGTGTACGCGTTGCCGTCTATTCTTCCGAATTGCATCACCTGAAATTTTTTACGATATTTTACATGTACGGATTTAACTCGCGGAGGAAATTGTAGAACACGTTGTAGGGAGACACGTTCGAGCTTACCTGTCTGCCCCTGAATTCGATCTGAAAATTCTTGGCGCTTTCTTGAGTCACCCTGCCACCGAAATCGAGTTGGTACACTTGACTGGACTCGTTCCACATGGGTGCTTTGTTGTGCATCACCAACTGTGCATCGCGCCTTATCGCTTCCGGCTTGGATCCGGAAATTCCCATTCCTCTCTGCTTGAGCTGTAAACAAACGTCTATCGATAACGTTTCCACGCGCCTTTTAAATGCAGCGCATTCATCGAATATTCTCCTTCGGCAGTTGGAAATATTTTGCAGATACAGACCTTCTGACGTAGCTGGGCTTTCTGGAACGTTTCTAGGTCTCGATAACTCGCCGTCGACGAATCGTCTTGGATGAGGCCCTCCTCGTCCGAGCTCTCGCCGCGACTCTTTCTCATTCTTCTATTCAGCAACGGACTCGACAAAAGTCTTCTTCGGATTGGAGAGGCTGACGCTGGTCTCTTGCCCTTCTTAGACGGCGCTGGACTACTAGGTGAACTCCTCGGCAATCTGTGGAGTGGAATAAGTGAATTATAATTATCTGCACGCACTGTTAAATAATAAACTGAATATATTACCTTGATGATGGTCGAGGAGACGGAGGGGGCAAAGAATGATTATCGTCGAAATCGCGAAGTCTCGCGGCGAGACCGTCGAGCGAGGAAGCAAAAGATCCACTCGGGCTCGATCCTCTGAAATGCAATTAGTTTTATGCTTGGGATTGTTCAGAAAGCAGTTTTATCTTACTGATATAATCACTTATTTTCGAATTAATTACTCACTTGACGGGAGATGCAGTGGCCTCTAATCGGCCTGGCTTTTCCCTTTGAGCTTCGCAAACGACGTTACTTTCGTTGCTTTCCTCGCATTTATCGGCAACCTCACGCGTCTCCTCTTTCGGCGATTCTGTCGATTCGTTGCTCTTCGCCACGCCGTCCTCGGTAACTTCGGAACTGAGTATCCCCGTTGCCTCCTCCACGTGTTCCGGCAATTGCGGCGGAGAGGATATCTGCTCGTTACTCGGAAATATATCGCTGGAATCGAGACTCTTGGACTTGCCGCAGTTGCGGAGTCTGGGCGGCTTCGAGCTCGGTTGATTCATGTCGTGCTGAGGCTTGGCCTTTTTCCGCCGTTTCGTCTTCCGCGACACCAGCACCAGCCGCTTGTTCGGCGCGTCCCTGCGCAGCATTCGCAGGGCGACGTCGCACGGGACTAACTGGGCGTCCACCAGATCCAGGTATCCGACGCTGCAGCTTCGAACTATCGAGTCGTTCGAGCACATCGGACCGATGCTGATGACCGTCGAGGTTCTATGAACCCCCCGCGACTGCCCCAACGCCTCCATATCGTCGCGCGGCTCATCGTCGCTGAATCGCATCAAATCGTCGTCGAGCTTAATGTTAGCGGGAATCGCGGCGCTCACGTAGCCGGGATTCGTCTTTCCGTAGCACACGTGACACTTGGAGTCTTTGTTCTTTGAGAAACACTGCGAACACTGCGACGACCCGAAGCACTGATCGATATTCTCTGGGAACTGATAGGAACACGCCGGCGAAACAACTCCGTGTATGCCGTTCTTATTAAGAGCCAGACTCGAAGCCTGCCCGAGTTGAGAGCTATTCGTAGGCGTCGTATTGGCGCCCGCCGTACTCGCCCCGGTATTTTGATTATTCTTATTATGTACAAAACTATGAGCGCTCGGCGACATCGTCGTTTGAACGCCGCTGACGGGGTGCGGCGCAGTCAAAACGTTGCTCGCGCACCCGATATTATTTAGACCGTTCAGATACACGGTCTGCGCCGAGGCGCAATCGATGCTCTCGAGACCGTTCGAAACCGGGCCTTGGGAGATGTACCGACTGCTTGACGCCTCCGCGTTCAAGGCCTGGCCATTTTGCATGGACACGGAAATGATATTCGTCGCGCAGGCCGACGTCAGGCACGGTTTGTCGTCCTGCGAGATTTGATTGAGCTTATTGTTCTCCAGTTCCTTCTTCGTCGCCATGCCCGCTTGCTGGTCCGCCAGGGCGTTCTTCATTCTCTGAATACTGCTGGCGTAGTCGGCACCCGCGTTCGAGGTCGCTATTAACGTTTGCGTGGGCGCCACCGCGTTTTTCGGCGACTGCAGGGCCGGCACGTCGCAGCACCTCGGCGGATTGTGCCTCGGCGGCGTCCGGTAGGTGTTCGTCGGGGCGTTTCTGATGTTCTCGTACAGATTACCCATGTCCTGAAGATCCACGTACGGAACGTACTCGCTCTCGTAGCTCTCGATTTTTCCCAGCGACGTCGGCAGGGTCTCCGACGTCAGGAACTGATTCGAAATTTGAGACTTCGGCCGATTCGGGTGGTTCAGCCGAGCGTTACGAGGAGTCATTGGCGCGATCGGCGGCGGTTGCGCCTCCGGGGTGGCCCGCGAGCTTGCTTCCTGGTACGACTCCTCCTCGTCCTCGGAGAACAGATTGGGGTTGAACGTCGGATCTGGACCTGTGTGAAAATAATCGTGTGTGCGTTATCAAGCTTCTAATACGAACTGAAAGAAAAAAAATTAAAGTCACGCAACGCTGAATTAATAAATGCAAATTACCGGAGGGCAAATCGTCCCGGAGCTCCGTCATCACGAGCGTCATTTGCCTGGGCTGTAGGTGTAACAACGACGTTCGATATGTTACCTGACCTAGGTTAGCGGGAACCGAATCTGCCAAGCCGTGAAACTTGAATTTCGTGCCCCAGATGTTCGACGTTACCTCGACCAGCCTCGCGTGCTACGAACAGATACAGCTCCGTTAGAAATATTCACGACAATGCACACACAGTCGCGCGACCGTTCGTCACGCGAGTAGCATATACTCCCTTTGATACGGAGGACTCGTCAAAGTCTGCGCGCGGCATGCGATTCATTACGTCGAAAGATACGATGCCACGATTACGTATACAAGAATAAAATGTAATTTTATACAAGTCCGTCTATAAATACGAAAAAAAGAGAGAGAGAGAGAGAGAGAGAGAGATTATATTACCTCTGGCAACGTATCCACATATGAGAGATCGTTCGGCTTTTCCTCCCGATCCGTCGTTTCGTCGCTCGTCCTCTCCTCCCTTCTTTTCCTGTTCTTCTTTCTGTAGCGTGGCGATCCGCACAAATCCGCGGTGTCCTTCTCGGTGTCCGAGCCGTCGCTGTACGACGGGCACTGCGACGTATCGTCGAACACCTGCAGAGTCTCCTGATTCTGCGGGTCGAATATTACGAACTCGGGCCGTATCTTGCTGGTCCGTCTGCCCTTTAAAAGTGGCACGAGACCGCCCAGGTACTCCAGATACAGCGTGTAACACGGCACAGGCTCCACGGCGTGCCTGAGCATGGTGCAATGCAACCGGCTGCCTCCCGGCGGCGGCCTTGACACGAAGCGTCGCAACTCTCTCGGTTCCGGCACCGAGCATCTGAAAAATGCACGGAAGCGCATTCCGGATGGATCTAAATGGTATCCCGCCCACTTTGAGTTAAAGAGATAGAGAGTCTGTAGAATTATTTTTCTTCTTTTTACCGTATCGTATTAGCGAAAAGGGCGGCCACCGAGGCTCTCAGTCGCGGCGGTAATGGAAGATGTTGAACACTTGACTCCCTCGTGAGTGCCGCTCTCACCGCTAGTCTCGACAACAGTTGAAGCGAACCGACTCTTCTGCAAAGAACAATTCAACTACTTTGTTGCGTTTCGACGTGCATCATTACTTCGACAAAAATTACAGAATAGTGTAAATTATCTTGTTGCGTTATCTGCGTAATAAACGCGTTTACGTTCAAAATAAGAAATTACCTGGAGACCCACGCGGCGTGGACGCGCGCTCCGGTTGCCACGAAAAGCCGCCTGTCATTGTGTCCCCATGTCAACGCCGATACGGGACACTAATGCGAACCAGGAAAATCATAAAATATATCAGCGAGATGTGGCAGCGAGATAAAAGAAGACAAAACATTTTTTTTTCTTTTACGCGAGCGTACTTGCGTATACGGAATCTCCGTCGTGTACACGAGAGTACCGTTGACCGAGTAAAACTTTAGGAGATTCGTGTATTCCTGCGAGCTACTCTGGTCGGACGACTCCTTCGTGCCGGCGATGGCCAACAGTTTCCTGGAGTTGCTCCATTCGGCGTGCAGGGGCGGCTTCAGATTGCTGCGTATCGTAATCGGCGACACGTCGTCGAACGATCGCAGCATGACGATGTTGCCGTCAGCGAGGCAAACGGCCAGCACGTAATTCCGGTCATCTGCGCTTGCACATACATCGTAAATGCATTAACCGTGCATCGCGGTGGCCCTCCTTGGGCACGAGTCAACCCCTTCGGGGTCGGCCCCAAAAGCTGCGGTTAATACCTTTCTGAGATCGATCGCACGTTTCGTCCTCCTCCATCGTGAACTTCTCGGCGCTCCAGGCCATCGACGTAACCCCGGCCGCTAATTGTACCTCCGACACCATAGCCCCGTGAACGTCCATCACGATTAACTGGCCCGCAGTCGTCCCGAAATAGACCTTTTGTCGTAGAACAAACGTCGGAGGTGAATAATGCCAGTTTTTTTTTTATTTCTTTCCTATCGGCCGAAGATATTTTCATCGATGACAAAGGGAAAGCTTTTAACTTGGCATTAAGTTGCCATCAACGATGATTGAGTGTAACATTGCGCCACAATGTCAGGAATGCTTCTATTAGGCAGGTACATTGGCGTATCGTATTTCACACGCGATGGACGATTCAGACTTGTATATGACTCGTGTTATTTGTTACGTCACAGTCAGTTTCCGAACGGTAATGTCCAGTGACAGTCAGATTTGTGAATAAACTTTAAGTTTTACAACAAATAATACGGGACAAGAGCTTTGCCATTTTAGGTTTATTCCTCACAATTTTTTGATAATTCTAAGCAATTAAAACATTTCAAATATCGTGGACACCAATTTATTTTCCTTGCGTTACCAATTAATGGTATTTTTGTAAAATAAACTAAATAAACTATAAAATAAACGGAAAACCACGGAAAATGAAATTTTATTCAAACTTTTCTTTCAAACCTGCTGATCGTCCGGAGTCCAAATGCCGCAAGTTATCGTCGCTTTGTCGTTGAGCATTGACGACCAGTACCTTTGACCGGCGACGCTGCCGACCAGTACGAAGCCATCCTGCAATAAAACATCCGTATTCTTCGCAAACGATCCTTCGCAAAAGACGTGTGAGCCACGTATATGACGAGGGTCGTAAATAAATACATAAAGCTCTAAAGTCTATAGCACATCTCGACGATCATTGAATAGAATGCTCTTTTATACTGAATGGCGGTACACCGATAAAATAAATAAACGTTTCGGAGTGATGTAGGTTTATTTTTATATTTTCGTTTCAATTTTAAAAAATGGAAAAACAAATTATTATTTTTTTTTTTTTATTGCATCGCGATATTGGCAGTGATTGCTACACGTGTCTGAGGGGAAATCACAGTAACAGGCACAAACAACGGTAAAACTCACCCTGTAACATATAAGAGCCATGCGACCGTCGTGGGACCAGGAGAAGTGCGTAACAGGTGTGTTTCTGTCGTTGATTAATTCTATACTCCATCGTCCGTCGTATTTGATCCAAACGAAGATTACACCCGAACTGTCGCACGAAGCCAACTTTTGATACGGTTCATTCCACTTGACCAGTATCACCTGCAACGAGATAAACGAACCTCGTGAAGTTGCCTGCAAAAATTTGTTAATTGTAGACAAACACCAAAACCACCAGATTACGATAAAATTAAGATTATTTGTGCAGGAATCTTCAATTTTCCAATTTATTTCAGTAAAGACAGTCATGTTTCGCGCGCGCTACCAGCTTTAATACACCCGTCGTAAATTGATCTCCAGTAGTTCATCTCGAGTCCGTAATTAATTTCGCTTGGGCTCTAATCAAGAGTAAACCTAGGCCTTAATTGCCGCCCGTTATAACACTTTGTTAACTTCCGAGAAAAATGGCCCGTGGCGTTATTATGGCCCCTACCGTCTTTCATATACATATTTCGTCTTATCGACGAAAATTTTTCATTCTTAATCAAAACACCCCCCTCTCCCCTCTTTTATGAGCGCGAGATAATTAACATAATTAAGAATTCGAGTGGAATTTTACGCTACTGTTTGTTAGAGAGATTCCGATGAGAAGGTATTCTGATTACGTCCTTTTAAGTGCGTGACTTCTTCGATACTATATCCCTGAGGATTAGAAGGGATTAAAGCCAGTCCTGCAAGAAAGGTAATCGTGAGTGTTTGAAGAGATTAAGCTACTCCGTCAAGGATGGTAATCACGACCCCTCGCTTTTAAGGTTTATCTCACGCTGCTAGTGGCCGCAGGAGCAAGTTTTGCAAAGGGGTGAAATCGCGGATACATGGCGAGATACGTCCTCGTGTCATTGCTCCATCCTCGATCGATTGCTTTTCACTGCGTTCACGAGCGACGGCGTCTATATTTTTATCGTGCTGATACGGCAAATAGAAGTTTATCGGAAAATTAATTTATGGATTGAAAATATTAGATAACAACTCGCTTCTGCCCATTGACAACTATTTATATCTTCGCGAATGTTTCTTGCGCGAGTTACAACTGAACGTAATCATATAATAAAGGAATAATTGCAAATTTATAACATTGCTGCAATTATCTAAATTTTACTTTTCAAAAATAAACTTTCTTTTACATAATGGAATAAATTATCACACTTCTTCTTCATCTTCGATGCTTTTCAGCAACCATTATTTCTCCCCGGACTTCTGAAATACACGACAGATTAATTTCCCTGTCCGTAAAGCTTTGATCGACCGTCCGGTATTGTTTGAGGGGTAGAAAGCGCGGACGGAGTCACCGAGGGTGAGCTGCGAAAAATGAGAAGGAGGATACCGTACGTGACGAGCGTGGCGACAAGATGTACACGTGTGCATCAACTCCGCATACCTATATACACATACGCTCATGTACGAGAGAAAGAAAGATTCGAAAAAGTTATTATATCAATGCTCTTACAGAGGAACTTACAGAATGTAAGAATTTTCCACCACGTGTCGTTGTACATCTGGATCGCTCTATGATTGATTAACCTGCAGACTGTCGCAAACTTTTTCTTTTCCCGGGATTGTACTTTTCGAAATATATGAAGGACAGTAGGGGTCGCATTGACCGTAATAAACTAATAACGCCACGGGCCATTTTTCTCGGAAGTTAACAAAGTGTTATAAACTTATATAACGCCATGACATCTTAAGTCCATTATTATTAAAAAAAGCGCCGAGAGAGAGGAAATTCTATTTATATCAGTTTGAAACGATTAGTCGTGGGAAAGGTATTTTAACAGTCAAGAGGCTCAAGAAAGTCTCCCGTCTCCTCTTTTGTGATTTTAAGGGAGACTCCATCATGTGGAATTTCGCCGGTGGACGAAATTGCGTTACGATAAGCTGGTCTCGCTTAATGGAAATAAACGGAATTTTCCGTGCGACGCCCTATAAATGCAATAAAATCTGTCCGAGGGTACGTTGTAAATTGTAGGGACATGAGAGCGCGAGAAAGTCAGGGAATAGCGGAGATAGCGTGAGCGTGCTGATCGATAAGAACCCCGTAAGGGCGCTTCGGATTTTCTCGTGATACCAGAAATCTCGCGCGCGAGATCGTGGGATGTAAGATCGTGGGAGGGTTATACGTCTGCAATGGAACCATTAGACTCGAAGATACGCACTTGTACGTACAAGTCTCTTATTTGCGCGAGACACCCTTGCGAGAACGTTTATCGCACGTTGGATTTTATCAGCAAATTTCGATGCGAGCGGAATGGAAAGTTGGCGGAAATTAGAAAGGACAGAGGCATTCACCGCGCAACCATGTGTGCCGGGACGGTGGCACACAAATTGACGCAGTGCAGTCTATTTTGAACGCTCTCTCGCATAATCATATTTCGCGACGGAGCGCCACTCGGTGGAATTATCATCGCTTTTATGCGATGCGTGGCGCGCGACAACCCCCGCACTTTCGTTTACGTCGCACACCCGGGGCGTGAAGTCATATTTTCCAACACACACCACTGTACACATTTTTCGCTTAAGCCGTCGAACGTGAATAAGCACACCCCGCCGACTGACCTGCCACGTTCCCTTTGTCTGCGCCTCGTGTGTGACGCTTATTGCAGGGCGAGGAGGACGCAACGGCGCGTCTGGTAATCCGACGTAATTGTATTTTCGAACTTGTAAAGAACGCGCCGAACGAGACGTCGCGTCGTCGCGTTTCTTTTCTCCCGTTACGGTTCGTCGAGAGTTCCACGACCTGTAGCATCGCCGTCGGAAACGTATCTCCCACATTTTGTCTCTGTGTTTTGACGGAAGAACTCGACAAGAACGAGGAAGATAGCGAAGATAGCGTAATTAAAATTATACGAAGGAAATGCTTTATTACGTTTCTCGCGAATCGTATTTCCTTCCTCGTGCAATCTCGTCTTCTTGTCTTCATTCCAACGGAGAATGTAAAACCTCCGATATTAATACGACATGAAATTATCATCCACTTTATTCCGACCGTCGTATTATGCGCGCAATATATAATCCTTCACCGGTTTATACTGCAGAAATGTATATTAATAGAAAGATGTTGAATTCCTTTCGAAATATACTGCGGCTTTCCGCGCCAGGCGACTTTCGAAAGGGCAGGGGGGGAGGCGATCGTCACGTAATCCTTTGACTGCTAATGCATTGCGGTAAAGGCTGCAGCAAGTGCCGGGAGTGCGCCTCGTACGGCGGGCTCGTTTGGTAAATCAATGATGCTCCTTTTCCGCACTCGTTCTTTTTCAGTGTCAAGGTAACTCCGCGCGCCACGTATCCCGCGAGAAATCCCTCGTGCTCTTTTGGCTCAATTTCTCACCTCGTGATTTATGACGAGCCATACTGGAATTTACACTTCTCGATGCTCGCTTTCCCATTCCGCGTTACTTATGTATATACATATACGGAAACTTCTCGCACCTCCGCCGAAGGGTGGCAGAATTTTCTTTCGAGCTCACGCTCGCAGTATCCTAATCGTCAAACCTAAGTGAAAATGTTATGAGTGGTAATATGCTAATTTGCATGAAACAAATTTAACGAACATACAAGTGTGAAACATTATAAATGAATGAGAAACTCCGTAGGATGTTGCATTTCCTCTTTCTCTTTAATATTTCATGTTATCTTCCATGCTACTTTCTCTTCTCTCAAAATAACGTGTGAATTTTTCATAAAGGTTCTGTAATAAAACCTGCCAATAAACGTATCGATCCTGTTGTTGCAGATACGTTATTTTAATTTGTTAAATTACATTGATCCGTATTTTGCTCCATTGATCCAACCTCACGTGCCTTTCCGCCACCAAATTCTGCCGGTTTAGCAGGAAGCGATCAAAGTGTATTGAGTCCGCGGGATGAATAATTTATAACGGTATAATATAATATCGCTCATTTAATATTCCACGGAGCTATCTTCTAGCACGATACGCTCGTTTTAACGGCTCTATCCGATGGACACGCGTATACTTTGTATGCTTTATCCCCAAAGGATTAGCGGGTTTGCAGTCTGACCCTGCCGTTACGTTTTCACCTAGATCTCTCTCCGGCATTACTTATACATGGGAGGGACTCTGAGAGGCTAATGATGTCAACGCAAGGGGGAGAAAAATTTCTCCGCCGGCATAAAAGTTTCATCTCCTTTGCGAGTAACGAGATCTTATGCAAGACGTATCTCTTAGCTGGGTAATAACAATAAAACCCGACTTTATGCTAAGAAAGTCTTGTTAGAATTATGCTATAAGCCGCCGGGCGAAGCCCGTGTCGGGCGCCTGAGTCTGAATTTTTCACAAGCAAGTCACATGTGAAATTTTCCTTACTTCCATATGTAGATATAAAGTCCCGTCCGTCATTTCAGCGAAGTCGCCACGCTTGGTAATTGAATCACGGTCCACGGGGACCTACAGAGAGGGAGGGAGATAGAGAGAGAGGGAAAAAAGAAAAAAGATTTGTGAAAATCAACAGATCCTGTGTAATTGCGCTTCAGAAAAACGCGGAAATTGTGTCCGTTCGTATAAGTGACAGTTACTGTACGAGGAATACAGATATAATCGCGCTATCGATTCGAGGTCCGAACGTGGCTGGTACGGCCTAGAACAGAAATAACTGAAAATACATACCCTTATCGCGAAAGTCACCCGCTGCAATCTAAAGAAATATTGTGTCCTGAATTACGTTAAGCTGATTGCTTCCTTTCGCCATTTGGGATGTCGTTTATAACGCGGGGATGATATTATCATCGACAGAATGTTCGCTATTTATCTTATAAATAGCGAGCTGGGGCGACTCGTGATATATTCAAGGCGTGCCGTTTCCTATTTTTAAACAGCGCTAATGCACGTGCAACGCGCGTTAACGTGTGAAAGATGAAAAAAAAAAGATGAGAGTCGACGTCGCATCTGAAGGGACGTCGCCGGTGGTGGTGGAGCAGCCCCGCCGCGGAAACAGGGTTGAGAACCGCGGTCTTAAAACAGCACTGCGTGCCAGATCGATACCACGGCGACTACCCTTAAGCTCTGAAATGTGGACCGAAGTGGACGCAAAATTCCGTGCTTCCATTGAAGTTTTCCCTCGCCGAGTCATGTATATATGCGAGCAAGTGACATAAAATGAGATTTCTTTCTACAACAAGTCATCCGATCGGTCAGTCAAGCGCGATCGCCAAAGTGAGTCATCACATTGTCGAAAGTTTCGCTGTCAAAACCTCGTCAAATTGTTCATCGATTGTGATCGAAGCTACTGACAGTGGGCGAACGGACCTGAACCTTCAACGTTATCCTTTCCGCACTTTAGCTTCTGCTGCGCGAGCATCACGATCGACTAGCGCGAATGAATAATTTAATCGCGAGTACAGCGTAAATTGACGCGACATAACGAAATGGACTAGTCTCGTTGTAACTTTCTACCACCGTCTGACCTGGTTTGCCAAGATCGCCGTTTCCTCGTGTGCGCTCTAACAGCGATCGCCGTAGTTGCACCTGCGTGCCAGTCCTACGTTGACTTATTGACTGAGGCCTGTTAATCGGGGCAAAAGGTCCGTGGGATCCGGGAAAGTTAACTGATGAACACGTGAACCGATAACACAAACATACATACACAGAGAGAGAGAGAGAGAGAGAGAGGGGGGGGGGGGGCGTGTGAGCGTGTGTGTATATATGTGCACGCGTGCCGCTATCGTGTTCGAAGCAGGCGCCACCGCGCCGCCGCCGATGCCGGTGTGCTGATCTCAATTTAATTAACGCCGTTCGGATGAATTACCATTGCGCATTAACATCGAGTTTCTTGCAGCTTAAATATTGCAGGTTTAAATATGTGCCATCACATATTTGTACACGCGAATATCTATCTATATCAAGCGAACAATAAAGATAAAAATTAACGAAAGCTCTGTCTCTTTAAAATGATAACGGACTTCGTCTGTCGGTTTGCATTTTCCACATACGAGTTTTTCTCGACTAGCAATGCTATTCCGTATTCGAAGCGTTTTCAGCCGAAAGCAGTGTGTTCGCTAGAATTTCCAGACTGCAGACATCTCAGTGGGGTGGACATCGTGCGAGAGGGACGAATTCCTCGCGGGAGCGCGTCAACGTCTCATTTGTCTCGTCACGTGGAATACGCTCTCTCGCGACACTTATCCGATCCCTCCTTATTCTTCGCTATTCCACGAGGCAACCCCCTCGAACAGAAATGGCTCGTATTCATAAGGGATAGAGAAACACGGGCCAGAGAAAGGTGCTCCCCGGCAGGCGACGTGAGCATTGTACGGTATATCTGCGAATATACGTATATGTCAGCGGGAAGAAAATTGTCAGAAAAAGATTTTCCAAGTTTTATTCGGTAGGTAAATGACGCGAGTACCCTAAGTACTCGGAAGTCTCAATTCATCTCGCTACGGACGGCTACCGTCCCCGTAATATAATAATCTTCGTACCTATAAGCACTCGGGCGTCATATATTATTTATGGATTTACGGTGGACAGGCGCCATTACTCGCGTTCTATTGTGCACCGGTTCCTTGTTATACGCGAATGCAGACGCGCAGAAAGTCTGGGGAATATGTTAGAATGGCGAACTTAGAAGAGGACGAGCGAGACGCGGCGTAATAACTGCCGCGCGCGAGGAAAGCGGATGTAAACTTATGGGGGGAGGGGTGCAACCCCCGAGATTTTAAGCCGGCGATATTAATATTGGAAGAGAGCCGGAGGAGCGCGCGCGGTATAGAGAGTGTAGCTCGCCGAGAGTTGGCCGAGCGTGTGCAGACGCCGTTCGTGAAATCGCGCGACCGTAGGTTTCGGGCACCTGCAGGCAGTTTGTTAAAAGCGCGCCACAGCTTAATATCGATTAAGGGCCACAAAGGACTCTCGGTTTGCCGGCGCGCGCCCGTTTACTACCGATACAGAGATTACACGAAGTTTCGGCCCGACGGAGCCCGATGTTACACATATATATAGCAGCGATATATATACGACGATATATGTTGCGAAACTATTAAATCGCGTCGTCTGAAATATTAACAAACTTTGTAATTACCGTCAAACGGCGACAGTCTGCGGGGAAATTTGAATCAGCGGCGCATTAGCAATAAATCAGTCGGGGATAAATTATGGTATGATGACGGTTCATTGGACAGCATTGCAAATTGACGTTTGTAATCCAATAGAGAGAAAGGGAGAGAGAGAGAGAGAGAGAGAGAGAGAGAGAGAGAGAGAGAAAGAGAGCTTGCCGTTTTATTTATATGAATTGGTTGCGTTTCTTTAACGATTCAATACGCCGTCGGCCTCCTATCTGCGTCGCGCAATCATCCAATTTCTTTGTCGATTTAACCCACACGTTCTGCAACCAGTTACCGCGGCTCGTGTATCGAGCAGATAAAGCATACACATTGGCTGCTACTAACCGATAACCCTCGTACGCTTCCTTCCGTGATATTGCAAAGCAGAATAGGATATCGCTCGCGTTGAAAGATTCAATTTCGAGAACCGTGAGATTATGATAATATTTGACATTGTGTTGAGCACGGTACCGGTTATCATCCAGTCTATAAATTGCTGTTTGACGAGGCGTGCCGTGGAATGCAAAGGATGCAAAAAGTAATAATTTTTTTTTTTCATTTCTTCATGTAATTATCGTTTCAAGCAGAGGATAATTATGTTTTGCGAAATTTGTCGCAATGAGCTTATAGTGAGGGAAGCTGTGGAAATGCACCGCTCTCTAAGCGGCATTGACGCAAGGGAAGACCCGGAGGAAGAAATTAAATGTCGGTTTCGTTCAAACGGCTCGAGCGGGGTGGCAAGAAGTTATAGGAAAAGCGATACTTGCTTCGCTACGGTGCCCTCGGAGGTTGTAATTCGCCCTGAGTGGAAGTTCCGCGGCTCTGGTGCGACAATGCGACGTGGTAAAAGTCACTCCTACCAAGCCGCGGGCGTTGCCGGTGGCTAACCATCCTTCCTGGTAGTAATTTATACGATCGAGCTGCCATCCTTCGTCCTGGTAAATAAAAGCAGAACGTTAGTTATACTTTTCGCGCGGTATGGCGCGCATAGAAACGCGTCATGCTCGTGATTAATGGCGCCTCGGATTTAGCGTGGAGATTTTTTTTTTTTAACGATTCCCTCAAGAGGCGGTGTCAATCGCGATAAACATCACGGTTACTTCGAAGTTTGTACGGCGCAAACGATGGCACCGGAAAGTGCCGTTCCGCATCGGAACACTGGCGACCTTTTTAAAAATTCGAGAACGAAAGTTCGAGCGGAATAAAATATCGCTTGAATTTGCAAATAAATTATCTCGTGAACTTGTCACGCTATCAAGACGTGTCCTAAGTCTATTTTCTAGGCCTGATTCATTATTCATCTCACGTAGTTTGATCACCGGGTTTAATTAGAATGTGTTACGTGTTTGGCTAAGTATAGAAGTAAGGGATTGGTCGCCATGAATAATCAGGCAGGTTAATTGTCGTACGACCGACTGCTACACCCTCCGATGTCAGGGATGATGCGCAGTCGTTCAACTGAAATCGAAGATGCTTACTGGAACTCTATTACTATTCGTCGACACGTAACGTTTCCACTTAAACGTGACAGCATTCGGTAGCGAGGGTTTCAATGCTGAAAGGGCTTCACCCTCGGGCCCATTATACATACGTAGGCGTAATTACTCAAGACAGCCCGAACCCTTAGAAGAGGGCAATATCGAAATGCACGCGCGCTTATATATTTATTAAAGTATCAGATTCACCCACTGCTCTCAATGCGTCAAGCTTCTGAATAGAAAATCGTTCCGAAAGATCCGCGCGACGCGAAAATAAAATTAAGATCACATTTCTATATGTGCTGAATATCCTAGCGGATTATCCAAATCTTGGCATAGAAAACAATCGCACGAATACAGGAAATATTCAATCCAGATAATTTGCGTCCCCTTTGGCATTCGTCCCATCGATCGACTCGATTCTTGCCCCACCAATTTACTGCACCAATATACTATTCTGAAAAGGCGTTTGGATTAATTAACGATGCACTTCTGTCGTAGAAAAGAATGTGAAAAGAAAGAGAATTTTTTTTATTATTCTTTTTGAAGAATATCGAAAAGAAGAATAACAAGACGTCTCTCAGAAAAAGATGTATCTCTCCGTGTTACAGTTCTCGAAACTTTTCACACGATTCTATTGAGATCTTCAATCCACGGCGGGACAGCATCCTTCTTTCTTATTCGCGATGAAGTTTTCCTTGAAATATTGCGCGCGGGATACCCCCCCCCTCTCCCTTCTTGCCTCCTTGTAAGCGTAAACTACATCATGAGAGTTTCATTAAAATTTTAAATTGGATTATAGCGTAGTCGTAATAGTTTATACACGCGTGTTTTGCGATAGGCAAGTTCGCGTTCGGTATGTGTGTGCTGTCCGCGTACGCATCGGGCTGGATGTAATTAAAGTACGATCTAATGAAGATGTTTTTGCGTGGTAATCTTCTGTAAGGTGGATAACGATGAGATAATGAGGTATATGAGGGTAGATTATTACAGCCGTGCTACTACAAAAAAACCGTCTGAGCCGTCCGGAATGAACGAAACGAGCAGAAAGCGCAATAATTCGACAGTTTATTAGCGAATTCTTCGGACAGCAGTCCGATATTGGGACAATGAAAGCCGGACGAGAATGCCGCGATCGAATCCAATAATCCTCCTTAATTATCCTAAGGAATTCATACCTCGCTCGTGGATCCTGACAACGCTAATGTCCGAACACGATGCCGAACATCGTTCCGCTTGCGTACGTATAACCAGTGCTCACCGCAAAATCGCATCGGATTTCCGTCGTTACGCCGGCCGGTGAGAAACGTTCCACGTGCCGTGATCGATGAGCACCGAGGGGTGGTTTTTCCCTTTCCTTTTTTTTTGCGAGTCACAGAGATATGACAATAGAGGAGAGGGCATGGCGAGAGCGTAGGAAGAGAAATCAGTGGTAATCCAATCTTCGCAAACACGTTGAGAGCAATCCGCGGAAAATAGAGAGGGCTCGGTGGAAATCGATGTTGCGCGAAGACGCGCCTTGTGGAGCGAGCGAGCGAGCGGCGGACCGGGTATTTTTTGTGCTGCGTGAGTAACAGCATGCGTTGTGGAGCATTAAGAGAGTGTGTGTAAGAGAGAGAGAGAGAGAGAAAATATATAGCGTAGCGTTTGCTTTCTCGAAACGCTTCGATAGAATTTACCGGCGAACAATGGCCGTAGTAGTAGCAGCGTAACGGCTCTCAATAATGACGTTATCGATTCAAACGCGATTCACAATGCGAGAATATAATGGAAACGTATGACGGCGGATTATCTCAATGTCGCGTACATGCGACACCGGCGAGATCAGCGTTGAAAGGTTCGCATCCCAATTCTCGCGCGGGTTACAGATACCGAGCGCGAAACTCGACCTGTCGTTCTCGCACAGAGAAGCCGGGTTCAACCAGCTGCAGAATTTTTCCGATTGCACAATGGAGCAGCAAGAAAATCCCACTTGATCGTGGCGCAAGTTGAGAATGGCCTGTCCGTAGCGCGCCCGTCCTCCTTCTAATGGACCATCATTTATCTCCGGCGAACCTTTTACGAGAGCCATCTAAAATTTATACTATGTAATAGCTCCCTGACATTTTCTACTAGACGGCCGTTGTGCGTAAACCCAGGGGATACCGGCGTTTTGCTACAGACAGCGGGATTCTCTCGCGAAGACGACGAGGTGATCGGCTACGGAAGGTAGTTAACAACGGGAAAATAATGGGCAGCGTACTGATCGAATTCCCCCGGGGAGACGGCTGATTCGAGTGACTCAATCGAATTCGCCCCGCCATAAGTCAATTATTTTTCCAGTAATTGAGCCGCCCCACTTCTACACCGTTTTCATCGCGCTCCTTCCTGCGCGAGGGTCGGCTTCCGTCAAATCGCCGAACGCAGATTGGTCTTCGGCGGGTGAATTAGACGACGTGAGGCGTGGTGTGCTCGTCAATCAAGAAATACGACCGTCGTAATTAATTCTGATCGATTGCGTCCTGTTCGGGCGCATCCAAGTTTCGGCAGTCAGATTAATCCCCGTTCGAGCGTGGACACGCATATATTGAATTGGGGAAAGTACGAACTGATCGTCGAGACAGAGACGATCGAGGGTAAGAGAGGAAGAGCGTTCGCGTTAAGATTGTACGAACGACGTTTTATTGGCAATCGACAGAGTTACTGAGATTACTCAGTAACTGTCTCGAAGGTACATGTGCGGCAGTAAATAAAGCATTCTCTCATTTGAATTGACGAGACGCTTTTGCGCCTCGGCACAGGGAGGAATTTCATGGTTACACTCGCCCTCTCTCTGGAGTATCTCGCGTCTGTACCGGTTCACGCTTCTCGATGGCCGCGAAACAAGGGACACCGAACAAAATCCGTCGCAGGAAACTTGGGCACTCGTTAGTTGGCCCATGCGAAAAGATCCACTCGAGACACCGATCTTCATCCTCGCCACCGAGTCAAGTCGCGGCTTGAACACAGTTCGCGGCAACCCTCCCGTGAAACCCTTCACTCTCGTGACACCCCTCCTCACATACTCGTGCGACATGCACGCTTCGTCCCGACGGATTCCAATTTCCTCTGCGGCTGTTTTGATGCGGTCCCGCGGCTCTCTATAGCGTTATTAACCTACACGAGACTCCCTTGCGGTTCCGAAAACTATATCGATCTTTATCGGACGTATTTACTTAACTGTATATGTAATTTACATTAGCAATTCGGAAATTCTAGCGTCCACCCGTTGCACGAATTCCGAAAACAGCGTGAAGATATAGTAAACTGATTAATTACAACGATGGGACTATTACGTTTCCGGAGTTGCACGAACGATCATCCTGTTTTATGCTCGCTTATTTTATTTGATAATCGAAGAGTCGCTGTATTCATTTACGCGCAGCGTTACACGACTATCGGTAACGTTATCAACGTCTGTTGCATAATCTTTCGACCGTCATTCAGACGTCAGATTTTATTACAAATGATCTCAGCCGACCGTGTAAGCCCGACTTGACTGCTTCAGTTGCCTCACGTGAGGTGGGATAAATTAATTTCACGCTCGTTACGGCGCGCGCGGCTCGCACGAGCTCGTTTTGCTTTCGCCCGAGCAAAAGTTTTATCTGCTGTCGTCCGCGAAGTGAGACAGCGGCCGAAGTATATGTGTCAAAGTGTGGCAGCTTCGTTTTTATTCACGCCTATATACTGTTTTACAACAGTACCGGCTGTTCCCGTTAACGTTTTCAATCTCCCACACCCACTGTTCCACTTGTTCCTATACCTTTTCTCAAGTTCGAAACCTATAAATCGCTTCTCCGGCGCGGCGGAACGCGTCATGCAAAATAGGACCTGTCATCCAATGATTAAAATGATAATTAAAGCTCAAGCATTTGTTTTCGATAGATCCTACGCGACCATTTATAGATTTTTACAGAATATATTGTTATCTTCTTAAATTAGAATTTCATCGACGGGGAGTCAGCGTCAGTTAGGAGTATACAAAAATAACTATTGACAATCTCGACGGTCTAAAAATTCAGCTGGAGAGAAGCTGAACAGAGGAGCCGAAACACGTCGGAGCTAAATGTTCGCTTTTCAGATCAAGAGTCTGTCAGCGCGATGTTAACGTGTGTAAACCTATTCGGTGACTTGCTTGCAGAGGCTCCTCTTATCTGCAGCAATGTATTATGTAATATCGTTGCCTGCATCTCTTGCACTAACAAATTTATCCGTATTATTAACGATTGTATGTGAGTAACGATCTGTTTTATTTCATGACTTGCGGAATATCAAATGCCGCGATAAAATGTATTTTTAGCCTGCTGCATTCGCTCGATCAAATGTAGAGAGGAGCGTTGATTCTATCTCGGACGGAATCTAACGCGCATGGAAATCGTCGAATCAGGAATGACCTCTTTTTCAGAACGATTCGACCTTTCGGAGAATTTTTTTTTTACTCTGTATATTAATCAGTATGCTAACGAGAATGAACACGCGATGAAGGGGCAAAACGGTGACAAATAATTGATTACCACGAAGAGTAAGAAAACAATAGGTGTGTTGATGTATTTTGGATTATTTAATTAATCACGTTCTATCGCCGACAGCTATATTATTATACAAGTGTATCACGTCTACCCCCAGAGATTGTCAAATAATTTTTACCTCCGGCGACTCGTCCGGTACTTTTCCCATCCAGCTGAGCGACAAGATATTGCAGTCGCACTTGGCGTTGTTGTTCTTCTCGAAATGCAGATGCATGATTGCGACGCGATCGGATTCCCGTCGGCAGGTCCATCAATCTATCGAACCCCGGCACCGTTTCCCGCAGTCCCGGCCCCGTGCCTCGTAGCCGGATTCCACCGTTTCCACGTCGTTTCTTCCGCGAGCATTCTCGCGCCGTGCGCGCTTCTTCGTACCGCCGGCGGATCCGTGATCGATAATCGAATCACGTTCACACGTCAACGGGCTCGCACGCGACCAGCGTCCCGCGACGAACCCCTCATGTGATCGCCCTCGTGACTCGAGAAACGGAGCGATCCTCTTCCGAGCGTCCCACGGGGGTGGAACGTGCGTCGCGCCCGCCGCGCGATCTCTTCTACCCTCGCGACACGTCACCCAGCGTACCGGATATTACGGCCCGGTCGCGCGATCGCCAAGGAACCACCGTCGAAATATCGTGCGACCGCCGAGAGGTACCCTGGCGTGTCTCTCAGCACCGCCGTTCGCCAACCCCGATCATTTGTTTCTTGCCGCGGCCGCCATTTTGCCGCCCGAGACGCTACTCCACCTTTCAGGGTGCGATCCCCGTGCCGCGCTACGCCGCGCCGCGCCGCGCCGGGGGTGCGCGCTTACGTGCGGGTGGACGTGTGCCTCGCGGTGCCGCGCGCGGAACCGACGCACGAGCTACCGACGCGAGCGTGCGTCCGACTGAAAGCTCAGGCTGCGCCGTGCGCGGAGTGGAGCCGGAGCGCGAGGGCCACCGCCACCGCGCTCTCGTCTCGCTTCCGTCCGTCGCGTTCGCGCGACGGGCGTATTGATTGGAGTCAGCCGTTCCGTTCCGTGCGGTCCGCGGAGGCCTCGTGCTCCCCGCCGCAACACTAAATTCGCCGCGAGCTTTTCCGCGCCGCGCCGCGACGCGCCATTGAACCGGCGGAGCCGCCCTGTTCTGTAGACCCTTGCGGTACATCGATATCATTTAAATAACAATTTCTTGCTGACGTTTACTGTACTTTATCGAAAATCTCTTTTTTCATTTGCTGTAGGCAATGGCTTCGCGTAATTAAATAAAATTTTAGATGCAACGGAAACTATCGTTAGACAGTAACATAGAGTTAATTTTGGAAGCAATGCTTTTAAACATACATCGCAAGTCTCTTCTTACATAAAACATCAATAATTTTTTTCTTGATGCTGATACCGATATAAATGATCGATATTTTGTCTCGGTATAACAACTTTACGCGCGCTGTGCCCATTTCGTAGAGGGTGAATTTCACGCCGCTTTGGATGCACCGAGTGGACGACGCTCTCATTGTTTGCAGCGTGTGCTCGTCAATTTTTTCCTTTTAATTCTTTCGCGCCACCGATGCGCAAACACCTGCGACTAAAGCGCAAAAAATTTATGTAATAATTAACGTAATAAATTACATAAGTCTTTAAAAGAACATGTTTTATATGGATTTATATAAATTTTATTTCGGAAAAATGTAGTTTGTTTTTCACTTGTGACGATATGTTGTACATACATATGTGAGTATTTGATTCAAAATCGTTAATTGTATAAACAGTTTCATCTTCTGTATAAAGTGTATAAAGTAATCAATTATTAGAAACAAGGTTTTTCTATTATTTTAAGCCTAAAATAAAAATGTATAATCGACAGACCGGATGATAGCCGACGAAGAGTGTTTGAGCTCTTGTCACTTGATGTCGCTTATCATGATTTCTCTTCCCGATTCTCCCGATTGCATCGACTGTCACTATCTTCGCCATTGTCTCTATCTCTTTATGAAATATTAATAAAGGAGACAGGCTTCTTGACAATTTTTCAGGATTGTGAAAAGGAACTAGAGAAGCGTGAATATAACTAAAGGACATTGATATTATCGACTGTTCTAGACTACTGGCTCTGACTATACACTGAAGATAACTACACGAGAATTCTTACTTATCAAGTTCTTGATTAATTATTATCAAAAAATTACAGTTTTCTATGTAATTCTTACCGAGACATGGAAAAAATAGTTACCTGTACATTGAACTATTTATAATATTATCTATCGATACATTTTCAAATTCAAATGAAAGAAATGCAAAAATAACAGCTAGAAGACTAATCTGTTTTCTTATCGTAATAGCTATTTTTATACTAAATCAATGAATCTCCTAAGAACATAAAACCTTAATTTTTTATTAAATTACATAAAAGGAGTGAACATAGAGGCTCACATTTCTAAATTTTCAGGATAGTTTTCTCATTTCTGCACAAGAATTATTTTATTAACGTATTTATGAATGTACATAAAGAAATTTCAAATCATTTTTTGTGATTTTCATGTCTTTTGAAATATGATGGGTGTGGTGTAAGACCAACATAATACATTTCTTGATAAGTGACATACACCCCTTTAGATGGCGCGTGATGTATATGAATATCTATTCTGTTATTGTTTTTCCGTTTGCAAGATTTTTCCCAGTATGTTCGCAACGTCTTGAAACGTTTGAAAATGTCCGCCCATTTGGACATTTAAAGAGATATCCTTCAAGTACACCATGAACATTACGGTTGCATTTATAGTACGCATTCGAACAATCCTTATCATAAGGAAAATGACCTTCTCCTGGGCACAACTTTCTCGTGGGGGCTTTTAACTGAAAAAATAAAAATTAAATATAAATCTTATAGATGTAACTTTTAAGCAAAAAGCTTAAGAATTGTGTAATATTGTTACAAATAAAAATTTTCAAAAAATTATATTATAATCACTTTTATAATGATAAATTCGATCTCTAGCATTCAATCTAAAATCAAATCTTTAATTAATTAGATTCAACATTTACAGTAAACATTTTATAACTTTATTTATATAATATTAATGGAACTAATTACGATTACAAATCTTAATGTATCTAGAACTTTAGAATATCTAAATTAAAACGGAATGTTATTTTTTCAAATTTAATCAAAACTGAATATTTTTAAAGTAAATAATATTCTCTTTTATTAGAATCTAAATAGATAAAAAATACTTTGAAAGTGTGTATTCTTAAATTGAAAACTTCTATAAAATCGAATAATGTTTCGATGTTGATTATTATTGAAAAAGCCATAATATATAATTATTTTTGAAATGAATTAATTAGAACGTATAGAATAGCATCAAAATAAAAAAATATTACATTATACTTACGAGTGATTTCGATGTATTGTCAGTAGAAGAATTAAAATTCTTACAATCGGTATATCCAGGAAGATTTTTGTGAATGCTATTTTTATTCACACATTGTAGTTTTATATCATTAAAAATTCTGCCTTCTGGACAGGTAAATACAATAATTTTGGCGCCCACGTTATCCACTGTTGTACATTGATAGAAAAGATTGCAATATTTAGGATGACGACGGAAACCAGTAGGACAAACTAAAATTATTTGATCGTCAGTCAAATTTCCAATAGGACAATTAAGCTCGATAGGAGTAGTAGATACTGTCGGCAGCTCTGTAGAAGTTGGGAAATCAGTAGTAGTCTGTTTTTTATTATTATCGGTTTTACCATCTTTCTTTTCTCTCTTCTTTTTACATGACAATCGCTCGACTTCCGATTCAAAATTACAAATTGTTTTATCTTGATCCCACACTGTTCCTCGAGGACATTCAAACTCAATTTTATCGAACATATTGAGTTCAATTTTAACGCATCTATAAAACTTTTTACAATCATTGAGATCTGGGAAGAAACCAGGAGAAGTACATTCTGAAGTGGAACCACCTCCCTCATTTTCGCTTTGGCTGTTTTCCTTACTTCCGGATTCACTTTCGGTTGGAACCAATGGAGTTGTCACATTCTCGTAACTTTCTTTACTCTTGCTATCTTCTTTACTCTCGGATTCGCTTTCTTCACTTTTGTTATCTTCCTTACTTCCAGATTGACCTTCTGTTGGCATTTGCGTTGTCATATTTTTCTCGCTACTTTCTTTACTCCTGCTATCTCCTTTATTTTCGGATTCGCTGCTTCCTTTATTTTTGCTGTCCTCTTTGCTTTCGGATCCGCTACTACCTTCACTCTTACTATCTTCTCTACTTCCAGATTGACCTTCAGTTGGAACAAGCGGAGTCGTCACGTTCTCTTCGCTACTTTCGTCACTATTGCTATCTTCTTTGCTTTCGGATTCGCTGCTTTCTTTACTCTTACTGCCTTCTTTATTTTCGGATTCGTTGCTGCCTTTACTATCTTCCTTACTACCGGATTGACCTTCTGTTGGAATTTGCGGAGTTGTCATATTTTCCTCGCTACTTTCTTTACTTCTGTCTCCCTTATTTTCTGATTCTCTGCTGCCATTACTTTTACTGCCTTCTTTACTTTCGGATTCGCTACTTTCTTTACTCTTGCTATCTTCCTTGCTTCCAGATTGACTTTCGGTTGGAACTAACGGAGTAGTTATGTTCTCCGCGCTGCTTTCTTTGCTCCTGCTATCTTCTTTGCTTTCGAATTCACTACTTTCGTTACTTTTGCTATCTTCCTTGCTTTCAGATTGACCTTCAGTTGGAACTAGCGGAGTAGTTACGTTCTCCTCGCTGCTTTCTTTACTCCTGCTGTCTTTTTTGCTTTCAGATTCGTGGCTTTCTTTACTCTTGCTATCTCCCTTACTTTCAGATTTGTTGCTGTCTTTACTCTTATTGTCTTCTTTACTTCCGGATTCGCTACTTTCTTTACTCTTGCTATCTTCTTTGCTTCCAGATTGACTTTCGGTTGGAGTTATGGGGGTCGTCACATTCTTCTCGCTGCTTTCCTTGCTCTTGCTGTTTTCTTTACTTCTGGATTCGCTACTTTCTTTACTCTTGCTGTCTTCCTTGCTTCCGGATTGACCTTCTGTTGGAATTAATGGAGTTGTCACGTTCTCCTCACTGCTTTCTTTACTTTTGCTATCCTCTTTGCTCCCAGATTCTCTACTTGCGTTACTTTTGTCTTCTTTACTTTCTTGTTTGTTTTTTTTTGTTGTGGTTTCTATTTCTTTTGAGTTATTTTTGGGGGGTTTTTTGTGTGCTTTTCTTCACTACTGCTACTGGAATGACTGCTTTCATTGCTATTTTTTTCTTTGTGTTTGTGCTTATGTTTATTTTTATCATTTTTTTCATGATGTGTTTCTTTCGATTTATTGTTTTTATGATGGTGTTTTTTTTCTTTACTTTCCTTACTATCTTTTTTTTCCTTTTTTTCCTTTTTTTCATGTGAGTCGCCTTTATTTTTACCTTTTTTTGTTGTTCCAATTGATGAAATTGTTGTACTTTCTGAAAGTATAAATTCTTCTTAGTTTATTATTGAGTTTTTACAAATCCATTTTATTCGGTTTTTTGATTGAAATAATCATTCAATTTCATTGCTTTTATTTTTTGTTTGTTACTTTTATATTTTACCAAATTTATTACTTTTGTTAGCTTTTGAATTTTTTGTATATATTTTTGTTGTTATCATTGGTGTTAGTTATCGATTGTCTTTCAATATATTATACTTCTATATTTTATTTCATTTATTTTTATATTTGTATAAGGAAAGTATTAAATGCCTAAATTACAATATAAAAATTGTTTGAAAATTAATATAATATTTGTAAATCATTCTGGTTTTTTTATTTGTTTACCATTTTATGTTTAAAATTAATTTTAATATAGTGTTTACTATTTTGTGTTTATGCGTTTACTACTTTGTATTTTTTTATATAAAGGCATTAAATATTTTGTTAAATAATGAGTAATTATATTACGTTAATCTTTAACTTAATACTTTTTTCAATAGTGAATATATGAAAATCAAATTACCTGCAGAGTACAAAGTGATTATAAATTAATTTTATATTTATTTATTTGTCTTATAAATGTGTATCATATTGACGTGACATTATCACAAAATGAAAATAAAAATCAAGTAAAATATTTGTTGACACATATGATAAAAAAAGAGCTAAATGTCATTTTACGATGCCTATTACCTTCTTCACTTTTAGAATCACTAGGTTCGGTTACATTCCGAGGATACGAGCACATCTGTTTTCTTTGATCCCATATAGTTTCATTGCTGCATGTAAATTCGTATAATATAAAACCTCCTTTCTGGTTACGAAGGCACCTGTAATACTTCTCTTTATCCGTAGGATGAGGCATAAATCCTTCCCGTTTACATATCTTTTCTGGTTTTGCTAAAATCAAATTTTTTACTCCGGAGTAATATTCAACGATATATATTGTAGATCTGACCTTTCCCACGTGTTACTTGTCAATTCCATTTTGAGGCTTGTATTCTTTAAATTTTCTCGATTATTTGAAGTTTAATATTTCTGACATGAGAGGTTTTTTTCAAGTATCTCTATATTTATTTTATTTTGAATTAATAATAAATTAATTACCTGATCCATCATTATTTTCTAACCCATATTTAGCGCACTCCGGTCTTTCACTTTTCTTAGGCTGCGTGCATTTTTCGCTTATATATGAAAAAACTTTGCCAGAGCCGCATTTGTGAATTAACTGACGAAATATAAATCGATGATTGCTTCGATCTTTTATGCATTCATAATAAATTTTGCAATCGTTTATATCGGCGTAGAGGCCTGAATGGATACATTTGAATTCATCACGAGATTGATGATTATGAGAGTATTGCAATTGTTGAGAAACTGTACTTCGTAGTAATAAATCATTGTGCTGACTATTCGTTTCTAAAATAAGAATTAAAATATGTAATAAAATAAAGCATCTTACCCATTGCACTTATCAATATACATCTGTTAAACTGATTATGTATTTTTATCGTAGTTTCTACTCTTCTTTATAAATTATCGGAAGTACTTTAAGTTTTTACCATTCTTAACGTTATAAAGTTTCTGTCGATAACTCAAGTAATCCTCCAAGTCATATTGACCGTGAGATAAAGCTAGAAATGCAATTAGAAGATAAATGATCTCTTGCATTGTAGAAAATTTAATTCATCTGTAAGTGAAGAAAAATTTATGAAATACTATTTTGTTAAATTTTTATAACGGAAAAACAATGATATCTCTTTAATAAAATAATATTTTTTTCAAAATCGACAATTAGTTTGTAGAAAAAATTTCCGTCTTGCAAACGTTAATGTTATAAAAATATGATCTGTATGAAATTGTATCACAGCAACAATTTTTATTAATCGCGATTAAAATATTATGTGTAATAAAAACGAAACGTCAAACGATGCACGAAAGCGATCTACTTACTTCTCTATCAGGTTTTTGATGATCTCGTAACAGTGAGATGATTCGATACCACAGTATTCTGTATCCTTTGAAAGTTTACAGAGTTGTGGCATTGTGAAATTCATATAGTGAGTTTTAATATATACGTGGTTGTGGATCGATTTCCAATTGAATAAATTTAAAAGAAAAACTCTGTATGTATTCAGTGTGCAATTAAAATTTGCGTATCATATATGCGTTAATATCATGCATCTTAACAGATAATTCTGACATTCTCTCATGCGATGTACAGATCCTGAATATACATGTTATTGAGAAATTATAATGAACGCAATAAGAGTTAATAACAATACATGGCTGTCGTTCGTGTATATTGAAAAGGGAAAAGACAGGGGACACTGCAAGAAGGATGCATTTTAATATCAGTTTATTTTCAGAATACAATTAACGACTCCTGTTTACTTTTTAAGATTACATATTACACGTGTGGAAATGCACATTTATAGATAATCTACGACAGTAGATGCTCTCTCAGGGCCGCAAGAAGACCAGCTTCCAAAAGGTACCGCGTTTGACACTTGTCTCAATATTAGCTCACGCTACAATACATATTATGTATGTACAAAGCATACAGCAAGCAGATGAAAGTAATTAGTTTTAGATCGTGTCTTTTAAGAGAGAAATTTCAAATATATGCGTCATGTGGAAGATATATAAAGTAATAAAAATTTGGCTAAACCGATATGTGTCATGCACGCCAATCTGTCATCCGAGGATTAGGAAGAGAATTATGTGACGACTCAGTTACATTATCCAAATATTATAATTTTAATTCGGGTTGACAATTCCGGCACAAATCCGATCGATAAGACCAATGACACTTTCCTGATTCATTTGTTCAAGGTTTGGCAATCCAAGATCCTCTGAGCTTCGATCTGCGCAAATGACAGTAAATAAATCAAAGTTAATAAATCGTAAATAGCAATGGATACCGCTTTCACAATTGTTCTAATAAATATTTACCGTGATAATTGCAATAAATAAATGGATATTACTTTTCGAGTATCACACGATAATTTATGATCAACAACATTATTTCGAAATTATATAAATCTTTAATGATAAATGTTTGAATATAAATGTTTGATTAATATTGATTTAAAATGTTTGATATTGATATTTGAATTAAAATTAATATCATTTAAAAATGCACGAGAAGATCTTTTAACGAGAAGATTGTTATAACAACTTTTTACAGCTTATTAAATTTTTAAATTAAACTTTTCGGTTCTTTTTAATTCATACCTGAATAAACGAGTATAACTTCAACAATTGTTCCAGCGATGCACCTTGCGACGAACAATCCGTACTACTTGTTCTAATTCGCATATTTTGGCTCCTTTTACCTTGGCCCCAATCGGTAGAAAAATTTAACTGAGCTTCACCGTCCGCAACGAGGATTAAAAAAAGAAATGCTATAGCAAATAAGCTCACAGACACCTTACAGAACCTTAAAAACAAATTTATTTTGTACATATAAAAATATTGATTATAAATACCGGCTCACGGAAATATTGTAATGAATTGAATTTATAATATAAATGATCAATATATTTATTTTTAAATATTTATTAGTTACGTCAAATAATAAATATTTACGTTATATTGTAAATAATGAAATATTTTTGAATATTTATACGGTTGACACCGTGGACGCGTTGTAATGAATATACATGAGGTATCATACGTATGTAAAATATGCACAAAACTAAAAATATTTCTTGAAGAAGATTCTCAAACACGTTATTCATAATAATGCAAAAATACTAATGATACCTGTGCAAATTTTGATAATAAAGAGAAATTTAGCAATTTCCTGAAAAAAATTTTCGAAATCTAACAATAAATTCACAAATCTTCGCACGTAGCGCAAAAATTCGATCTCTGATAAAATAAAATTCTTTCTAGACTTCCTTTTTCTTTCTATCGACAACTGTGTTTTAAGCACCAACTGCGGTTGTTCGCGCATCGAATATGCCGTCAATCATTGCGAGCAAGACTGACTGTTTGTAACGGGCCGAAATAGTCGCACTATTCTCACGGGAAAAATGAGAGGAAAGAAAAAAAAGAAAAGGAAAAGAAAGACTCACATGATAACACTTTTTTACAGAGAGATGTACGGAATGGTCTATTTTTTTCGTTAGAGACGACGCACACAATGCCGATGTGCAAGAGACCTCGTTTACGAGAGCTCTAAGATGCGGTTGCTGTTTTTATACATTACTGAACCCCTTGCTCCAACGCGCGCGCACATTACAACATCTCGATAGATTCGATCGCTATTCCAAGAGGGATAATGAAAACTCTGCGCCGGCGTTAAGCGTTTCGCTTTGCATGCCATCCCGAAGATCGTTTCTCGCGTGATCCCAGTGCAGAAGTTGAGGCGCCAATAGAGATTGTGAGCATATTCGCTACACTGCAGAGATAAATTTAGAAGCATAATTTATACGATCGCGGTTCTCTTTACAATTTTGGACGATTGCGACCTTATCGCTTCGAGGTCGTCGGTTGCTTTCTATTTGCACACGCGTATGTAGTAATTAGTATAATATATATTTATACAATGTCGCTGAAATTGCAGATTCTACTACGTCGCAGCTGCACCAGAATGTTGAATTTATTTGCCATGTCAGTAACGTTAAAATGTGAAATAATGTGAAATTATACACTCTTGATATACCACCTTTTTTAGCGGTCTTTTTATATAGAAGGGGTACGTGTTCCAATTGCGAAAGTAATAATTCTATACTAGAGTAATAATTCTATAATAAATAAGTAAGTAATAATTTTTATACTAAAGTAATAATTCTATAATAAATAAAATATAAAATTAAACTTTTTAAGAGGGCATTCCGCTTGAAATAACCATAGAGAAGAAAAAGGGATGTCACATCGATACTGATCTTAATGTAATAGCTTTTTTTTCATGTCTATTATTTTCTAAAATTATTTTGGTACGCAGGCAAATTATTTTGATCATCATTGTGACGTCTAAAAAAGTAAACTGTATTGCTTTTGCGTCATTTGTTGCCAAATTAAATTAGTGCGACCGTGACACTCGAGGGCTTCCGACTAATTTGCCAACAAGGGACATAGCAGGATGTGAAGCCTTATCGATCACTTCATCAGTCAATTATTACATATCTAAAGTCTATTGAATTCTCGTGATGGTATCGTCGCGCGATCGTATGTCGTAATGTTAACAAATTACAATTCTTAAAAAAAAAAAACTTTTTTTCGTGCAATCGCACGACATTAGCGGGATAATTAAAGATAGGAAGATGTATATTCGAATTTCACTTTATTACTACAAAAAAGAAATTACACAGAACCTTTTCGAGCTAAGGGTGGATCGAAGATAAAGGATAATGGTGCGCTCATATGCGTTGCCGTCGATTATCACATATTAAATGGTTCACGATAGTTCTTATTTTTCTAAGTAATGTACAAGCTTGTGTACACGCGCGCGCATTATGTTTATCTCGTATGTATATATATCTTTTTGTATCTAATTATTTGAGTTTTTTTTTACAGTACATTTTTATTAAAGTGTAGAGTAGTACATTGTAAGATCCAATTAAGATTTAATTATTAAGATCGCGTCTCAAAAAATGCTTGATCTTCCTCTATCTTAAAGGCAGTGTTTAGTAAACATTTATCAACAGCATTTATGAACTTTTTTATATTTTACCTATTGTTCATCTCTGTGAATAATAGAAATGACAGTTACACAGACGTATAAAACTGGTGAGAAATAATGAGAATGTTAACTTTTTTTTTACAGCGCTACGAAGTGAAGTGTTATATACAGATTCATTTACGGGCAAGTCTCTTTTTGAGGATCTTTTAACAAGTGAGTAAAAAAAAAAAAAAACACTTCTTCGCAGAAAATTATAAAATTCTTATGCTCCTCGCATACAATAATGAGCTAATCTCATTAACAGAATACTTAAAGAAAATCGAGCAATATTTAGCATTAGTTGTTGCACGTCCAACTTGACGGATTAATCTATTACAATTATTATTACACTAACCTTTATCATATAAACTTTATATTGAAGTAACATCTTTGAACAACGCTTGCCAAATATCGCCTCATTGTAAAAAGGAAGTGAATAGCACGGCAGTGCGCAAGAGTTAAATTTTAACATTGATAATCCTTGTTGTCCTTTGTCTGGCTATATTTTATCCATTTTATCTCTCGTCTCAATCGTTGTTCAATGGCAAGCCCCTTAAATAGCTTATAGACATTCCTAGAGGAACGTTTGAAATCTGCTCCTCAACTCTTGAGATCACACACGTCCACCTAAATTACGTTTCTTATCATATACATGTATGACATACCTTATACGAGTTGGATTTCACGATATGTATTAAGACTGCGCGGTACGTTGAGTTCATTCCAACATCCGATCAACAAAAAGCAAATACCGATGTCTACTTTCTCTCGCTATCTCTCGTAAACATCAAATTATTTGATTGTGATTGCTTTTATGCATAGAATACGCTAGGATTTAATTTTATATTTTAAGTATAAAAACGCGATTTAACATTTTTCTCGGTTATTTATGCACTTATGCACACAAAGTGTGAATGAATTATTGAAAATTTACCGAATATAATTGTATGTACAGACTTTGTCAACACGAGTTTGAACTTCTTAGAAGATACTCTTAAGAGGACATCGCAATATTCTTCGTTCTACCATAATGATGGTATGTATATAGTATACCTCATGACAAGTATCAAAATACATTCAACAAACGTTTTCTTCATTGCGTTTATTTCTTCGTCGATGAGTTATAAAAAATCTTAAAACGCACGAATAACCAAACATTTGTGTACCAAAGTATGTCTCAACGTAACCACATGCAGATAATACATATGTCACTTTTATTTTGTATAAGAACCTTAAAAATAAGAGCATCCACGTCCACATAAATACTTGTTAACCGCATGAAGATATAGCGAAAATGATGAGTGTTAGTAACATGAAACGGTGATTAGTCAATGAAGAACACGAAGAACAAATGTTTTCATGACGAAGATAATGTACTATGTCGTCCCGAAGCTATTTACGAGCCGTGATACACAATGATCTTACTAGTACGAGTTATTATTCGTGAAATAAAGCGAAAGATCAACGTCCAAAGCGCGCTATGGCACTCGATCTTCATGCGTCGGTCGTCTTCGGTGTCGTCTATACCCGCGGTCGCAATATCTGGAATACTCGGATCAGTTGCTTATAACGATAAAGCCCTACTGGCGGAATAACATTATACGGACAAACTTGCGATGAGAAATAACCTTTTCCGACTCTCACGAGAAGTATACACGTATAAAGGAGGATGGATATACGTGTATATCCAGTACGCAAAATTGTTAGCAATATGTTAGCAGATTCAAAACAGAATATTGCAACAGATCACTAGCAGAAATCGAGCGCATCTGTCATTTCGTAGCCATTTAAATAGAATGTATCATTTTTCGGTGGTCAATCTGCTATCATATTGTGTTAATTTTCTATTACACTTTTGTTACCATTTTGCCAATAAAATTGATAGCCAATACTTTTCGATTTGGCTATCTGGCTATATGTACGTGTATATATACATATATACCTATATATGCTTATATACATATGCATATAAATTATATATAAACGCACACACATACATATTTATCCATTTTGTAACATATATCGAATATAACAATACGTACGCAATATTGTACGCGCTCACCTGATAATACAGATGTTACGCATATGCTCATAGCATCATACATCATGTACACCTTCCTTCTTACTCACACATATGTAATTATTAAAATGTTATATAAATTAAATAAAAGAGTGGCGCTATCTTTCTTTATTCCCGTAAGAAGAGTTGTCCATATTTTTCCTTTTACAATTACTTCATTGATCGCTCGACCATTATATTCAGTTTTTTTTTATATCTATATATATCTCTCTTTATTTATATATATGTACTTTTTTCTTTATATAATGTATGTATAAAAAATAGTCTAGAAACCTTATGACTTGACGATTGCCAAACTCAAGAATACAGATTTATCAATTGACAACAATTATATTCTCGTTGTAGACTACTGATTGCAAACCGTGACGTTATTGACATTTTATGAACTGACATTATTCAATTACAGTACAATATTCAAATACTACATTCCAGTAGCAAAGAGAACTTTAAAGCTTTAAAGCTAATAATGCATGTACAAGCGAGAGTGTTTCCTTGAATTTGGCAGTCGGCGTACTTTACGAAGTTACTCAAGTTTTCCTAGACGGCGAGTTCTAAAGTCAGTCACATAGCATTTCGTCGCTATTACGCAATTATAAAAAAATATTAACAAAATAGACAGTAGCTCTTTCTCTCGTCTTAACTCGATGAATGAATAATTTAAAAAATTGGCTTAATACTTTGCCAACAACTTATGTATATATTTTTAATTTAAAGGAAAGAAAGAGAAATCATATAACAAACAACTCAATCACGGAGTGATTTTTGTACATGTCTAAAAAAGAAAACTTCTAAAAACCAAAGGCTTAAAATAAAAGAAAAACAAAAAACAGGTTTACAAGAATTATATAGCTTCTTTCGTGTAAATTTTCTTTGATTTTTATTTCAAAAATCTTAACAAAAATGTCGGCAGTTTTTCTTCATCATTCTACATATTCTCAATATGTAATCTCCGAACAGAATAATCGACGAAGTATTAAGCCGTTTACGTAATACAATATTTATGCCGCTGTCCTGGTATTTCTCATGAGGCATCGCGCTTATTATAATCTGTCCAATGCAATAAGTAATGTCATAAGTAGTCATATGTTTAACTAATTAAGTTAAAAGAAAAAAAGGAGAGACTCGTGGATGCATGGAAGTGTCGATTGTCCAACTCGTCGGAATACTAACGAGAACACATTGATCCAGAACTTTTAATGTTCACTTCTGCGTGCACTGTTCAATGAACGTACTATTTTCTCTCGTCTCACTTACACACATATATCACTTTCTAGTGTAAAAGTATAACATAAATGCGCTATAGGTTTTATCGACACGATATAAAAATTCATTTTAAGGGTCAGTATAAGATACGCATCACTTTCCGCGCGAGTAAACAAAATTCATATAGCGTCCGTATAGTCACTTATGTTAATTATAAAGTTTATTCCGTCACTAATAAACCACGCGCGTTAATTACACATTGCATTGATGGCGTAGTATACGCACTCATCAACTTCGTCTTATCAACCGTCAAAAACTAGAGTAATCGATGAATGAGACCACACTTTATGTCATTTAAGTACAATGAAGCCTCGGTTTTGTTTTCCCAATTAACTGGAATCTGGGGCTGTGGTACGCACAAACCTGCAGTGTAAACGATCCATGGTATGTATGCTCCTGATTATTACACGAACCACACAATCGGGAACGGATCTGCAAGCTGTGTGCGTTTTCTGGCAAATAAAACAACAACCATTTATACATGTAGCAATGTATCGTAAAACTGTAATGTTTATTGCAAATAATTCAAGCAACTGCGTTACCTGGGTTGAAATTTTAAATCTACGGTGTTCTCATTTAGAAAAACTCAACACCAGCTTTCGCTCTCTCGTTCACCAACCCCGTCACTTTCCTCGTCACTTGGATCTTCTCCATACATATCTGCCAATTTTCTAAACCTTGGCCCAAAGTTAGATAGATAATTAAACTTGAGATCTCCATCGTCAGTACCTGTCAAATGGAAACGTAAAGAGATTAATTAAAAAATGATAAATGCCACAAATGTAAATTCACTTTAAGATATTTTCCGAGAGTCAAAAATACTAACAGGAGGCTAATGACGATAGATCGCCTTCTGAATTGCCTTCTCCCTCGTAAGCGTAATGCCTTACATCGTCGAACGGATTTGTGTCAGGATCTTTATCGCAGCTTTCTTTCTTACCATCTAGGAAGCCACAAATGTCTGGAACTTCGTCGGTTCCTTTATACAAAATTCTCTTTTTAATTTTCGCACAATAATCCACAATGCAAATAATACTTTGATAATATCTGTTATCGTACCTCTACCCTGTAGGCCGACTGGAGCTATCTTCGAATCAATGGGTGGCGCGTCGTAAATGGCTCTCAACACGTTTAAGTCATAACCCGTGTCAACCTCACCGCCACCTTCGTCCTCGTAATTAATAATATTTTCTCTGATATCGTCCATATCTTTATACAGATCATCCGTCTTTCTCCTGTGCACGACTACCGCGACGAGCAATATTAACAATATCAATACGCAAACCAAAATAGCTACTAGAAAGTTCATGTCAATTCCGAATGAGATTGCCTTTGCCATGCCGTGATTGCAGCCAGGATCGGCGTTTCTGGACAGTGACGGCATGCCTAAGTTGTACGTCTAAAACAAAAGAATATATAACATAATCTCCCATAATTTGCCATAACTATGTTTATTACGATATCTCTTCATTACTTACATTTCCATTGAACGTCATATTGCGTATACACCCAACGAATCCTTTCTCAGTCGGTTTGTAATCCCATCCTAAATTCGATGCTAAGTGCGCTAGATTAGACAATGTACCACCTATTTGCATCGGGCTGTTAACGTTTAAGAACTCATTGGTGCCTTGCGGTGCAGTGAGACTCATGCAAGCGGATATACCGCACTTATCGACTATCATTTCTATGGACTGGAAAAAAAAGCACGTTAAGATAAATTTACATTTAAGACAATTTTATTTATACAAGACTATGCACATTTAACGAGGGTTCTTACAGTTTTCTTCCAGTAAACGTCTATTCTGTGGCTCTTTCCGTCCGTTAATTTGATCCGTTTGTGTTCTAGCCTCACAGTTCCCGTTCCATAGTCAATATACAACACAGCGAAGCCTTGCTGAAGTTCCAAAGACATGAAATCCTGAATTTTAAGCTTCGGATTATAAGTCATGGGACCGAAATAAAATACAAGGCCATTATCCACGTGTGGCGTTATCTCCAATCCTACGATAATCATATGTGAAATGTTAATAAAAGCGCAAAAGTAAAAAAACGAAAATGGTGTAAATGGGAATGTACCTACCTAAATGCGAGTCGTCGCAGGCTTGACCAGGCGGCGGAATTACAGCCCAGCCGTCTCCGTGAAAACCAATACCCAACAGTTCGCATCTCGGCCCTTCTAGACCAGGCGGGCACTCGCATCGTTCTGCCAGAGGAGTCCCGCCGTTCAAGCAGACGATGGGTTCCGCTACGTGGCAAGTGCACTGCGGATCTACGACCGCCCTAACACCAACAAACGAGCTGGTATTAGTGTAGACGACATATGGAACGGTGCTGGTGTTCAAGAAGTTGCGGCACGAATTGTTGCAGTAAAGCTTCTCGAATAAACATTCGTCGATGTTCATCAGTAAAATATCCGCTTTCATCTCCCGCTCAATTTCTTTTGAATGTTGCGCTATTATTGTGTTCAACTTTTCAGAAGCGTAATATGGGCTGCCATGGGCCGAAAATCGGATGTCCAGTAAGCTTCGATTGTTATGATGAGGCGAATGAAGTACGGTGAACACGTCGACGTTCTCGACCGATGTATTCAGCATAGTTGCCAATTTCTCTTGGAATATCTCCTTTTTACTAACACCGGATTCGTCAGGTTCCACGAATTGCTCCGCCGTTATTCCATAAAATCGTATAGAGCCGGATCTGGCAACAGCTTCTTCGGGAAGTTCTTTGACAGTGACGTTCACGTAGGCATATACTTGATGCGATGGAACATGTACGCCATGCTCGGTGACAATAAACTTCAACACGAAAGTGTCATTTGACGTACCCGACAATAAGGTAATCATGCCGGTACTTTTATCAAGAGAGAAACCGTCGTGCTGAGAGGCCCACTCGAAAGATTTGTCCGGCAGATCCCAATCATCCGGATCGTTAACGTAAACGCGTCCGATTTCCGTGTCAGGAGCTTCTCCTTTGTAATTGTAAACAAATATAGAGCTCGAGCCCTCGTGCATAGCATTGTCATTTTCGTCGCCTATGATCACAGTGAGCGTCGAGGTACCCGTCATAGGCGGTGAACCACTGTCCGTGATCGCGATCGGTATGTCGTAACTCTTCTGACTTTCCCGATCAAGCCGTATTAGCGAGTACAAATAAATTCCGCGTATTTCAAACTTAGATTTAATTTCATCGCTCGCGGTTTCGTCGATTCTGAACTCGAACGGCGGACCATTCTCGTCGGAGTCGTAATCGCGCGCCTTCAACTCAGTTATTTTGCCGGGTGCCTTATTTTCGTCCCAAATAACTGTAGGCATATCGAGGAACGGTGCGTTGTCATTTATATCTATGAGAGTAATATTAACCTGCTGCGATTGTTGAAGAGCCGTAGATGAACCATCCTCGTCTCTCGCCATTACGCTGATCTGTCAAAAACCACAAAAAAAAAGAATAAGAAAAAACGAAATTAATTCTTAAGGCTCCTGACTTTTCAGCCAAGAACTCTGCATTGATGGTGACGATACATATGATGAAATATAACTAATAACTTACAATCCACGTCGAAAAGCCATTCGGTGGATCACGATCTAACGGCTTTTTCAATTTCATACAGCCAGATTTGTCTATTCCTATCAAGGGTTGGTACTCTTCCTTAACGATGGAATAAACAATATGCTGATCAGCCTTCCTGTCCTCGATATCAGGATCGTAAGCCTTCACAGTGGTGATACATCCTAAACAGAATAATAAATTAAAAAAAAAAAACAATCAAACTTTGCCGGATTATCAGAAATTATTGCGTTAATACTTTACCGTCAACCAATTTTTCTTCCATTATCGTCGGATTCTTGTCGAATTCTTCAAAGATCGGCTGATTATCATTAACGTTTTCGATAAAAATCTCGACTTGCGCCGTATCATTGAACACACCGTCAAATGCTCTTACAGTTAAATTGTACTTGGTGATTTTTTCATAATCGAGCTGCTTGTGCACGCGAATCTTTCCCGAGTTATCGATGTAAAAACTGTCGTCGGTGTTGCCCGACATGATGCTGTATTCGACAGTACTCTCCGAATCTGAATCGACAGCTGTGACTTCAGTTACTTGCGCGTTAATGTGGACGTTTTCTAAAACCGAACTATGGGCATACACTTTCTGAGTGAAGTGAGGCGGATTGTCGTTCTTATCGGCGATTACAATTCGGAAATACTGTTGTCCCTTATTGTGCTCGCCGGTTTTAAACAAAGCACTCGGCGAATTATCTGTCGCTATTATTGTCACAACATAAAACTCCTTGAACTCTCTGTCGAATGACGTTAACGTTGTGATAGTGCCAGTTATCGGGTCGATGGCGAAGAGGTCCTTGTAACTGTCCAACTCGTAGCTGACCTTTTGAAGATAGACGTCAAGATATTATATTAAATGCAAGACATAATAAAAACTTTGACGCGTAATTGTAATGCTGCTAATAGAGCGAAAAATGTGATATATGCAATTTTAATACCTGATTATTAGCAGAAGTTCCATCAGCGTCAATGGCTCGCACTTGCATCACGTCGACTCCTCGGGGCTCATTTTCTAACACGCTTCCTCCTTTAATATCACGGAAGACCGGAATATTATCATTTACATCTAGAACTTCAATATCGATCACCGTTTCGGCAGCTAACTGATAATCGTTTAGTACTCTCACTATTAACGAGTACTGCGTGTTACTCTCGTAATCAAGTCGCTGAGATAACTTGATATCTGCTACATTGCTATCTTTTTTAGTCTGTATTATTCTGTAATAAGTGCAAAATTTAAATATTTATATTATGTGAAACGCGATTGATTCGCAATTGTTATGTTTCACTTCAAATCGTACGCAGTAAAAAAATAAGCAGTAAGTGCAATTCATATAATACCTGAAAGTGTTTCCCTTGTTACTTTGTTCCGTTCTACCAGTCACGAGCTCAAAAACCAGATTCGAATTGTCCGAATTACTGGAATTAACAATATTGGAAACTGCTTTCAGCTGGATAATGCTGGCGTCGAAATCGCTAAAATTCTCCGGTATTTTGATCGGTTCTGCTGATCTCGGGAGAAAAGCTGGCGCCTTCTTATGCGATTCTACAACCCGTATGTCAAGTTCAATGGCAGTGCTCAGCGGGGTCTCGCCAGTATCCGTGGCGGTAGCTACGATACTGAATTTAGAATTTGGACTCCGCTGCAACAAATTCATAATGACCGTAAAGCGAGACACATTCAAGCGTGATTTCAAGCGTGAAATAACATCGGGGAAGCACTTGATAGTTGATAGTTTGAGCGACGATAGTTTCGCTCAAGTCTATCGAAAAAAAAAAATGAATCGATACCATTGCATCATTTATCAGGCAAGCTCAAGAGAATATTATTTTTAGTAAACATGAGATAACACAAATATCTCCGTTGATGATTCAACGGATAGTTGTGTTTGAAGCGTTACTCGCATGTAAAACGTTTACTAAAAATAGTATTTCCGGAGAGAGTGTAGGTATATACATTTACTCTGGTGTGTGTGTAATAAAGTTCGCCGATAAATATAAAAATTCAAACAACGATTTAATAAAACAACAAAACTATCGTCGCTTAAATTATCAAGTGTAAGTGTTACAAGTTCCAGCTTCGAAGTAACACTGTAAAACGAAGTTTGCGTTAAGCACATCCTCTTAACATTGTCCCATCTTTGCATTACTTACGTCTATAGTTTTGTTGAGGAATATGACACCGGTCTCGCGGTCGATCCGAAAGTATGAAGAATCTTCCTGTTTCTTAGCTATCAAATCATATCGTACAACGGAGTTGATGCCATCGTCGATATCAGTCGCGGAGACTCGCATGACCTCGCGACCCACTGGTAAATCTTGCGGTACAGATTCCTCGTATGCCTGTGTAATAAGCCAAAATGTATTTGACGAGTATAGACAATCACACAATACGTGCGCACAAATTCTAAAATGAACTTAGCGTGATGCATTCCACATGCAATTTTCATACGAATCGTGTGTTTACGGTAACAATTATCATTCCTGAAAGACCATACGTACATGCATGCTAATTTCTTTCCTCATATTCCTTCAATAATAATAAAAAATAATAAATAAAGGAGAATGTAATTTATCCTCAGACTGCGCTGATCAAAGTTATTGTAAATCAATAAAAAATTTCTATTGTATTAAAGTAAATTTTTATCTTGTACTTTTTTGAACTCTTATGATCAAATCTGGAAATATTTTTTCAAGTGTTCGCAAAAAAATTCATTCGATACATAAAAATTAAAATGACAATTTGTTCATGAAATATGCAAACTGTGCATAAAAAGAAGGGGGAAAACAAAACTTGGGACTCTTCTATTTTTTTCATTTACATATCGAGCAACATTCACACCACGTATTCGAAACCAACCTTCCACGCGTATCCACGGTAGACCTGGGATTGGAATGAAACAAAAAAATTCAAGCAATAGTTGTTAGTAGCGATAGTGGCTGTTGTGTTAGTCTACGTAGAAAAAAAGGAATTTACGTGATGTAAATGTACGAAAATCCAATATAACATTTCACGAGCTTTCATTTATCAAAATAACTCGTCATTTCTATAAATGAAAATATTTTACGTTTCAAAATTTTAAGAGCGCAAAATTTTAAAATTTTATGAATTATACACTTAAAAAAAACCATCTATTTTCTTCACAATTATTTTTATTAACTAAAAGTTAGTTATAGAAATATTATAAGCAATCAATCCTTCTCATTATAGTAACACGTCATTTTTATTATAAATAAATCTCGTAGAAAATAAAAGAAATTTATTTTATACTTTTGAGTTATTTACTCAAAATCAAAAACATCCCTTTATCAGAAAAATTCACTATTATCCCGTAAATATCATAAAAAGGAAAAAAAATTATGGCCTTGTTTCTTTTATTTTTTCCCAGTACAATCCGGCTAAGTCTTTACATCCATGTAATTGCAGCGTATGCATAATGAAGACGCGTATTCGCACCACATGCACCCAGATTCGCATTTGCAGATACGAGCTGTAAGGGAGTCGGTAACGAGTTGGTAACTTAGGTAGTTAGCGACGTACCGCTTTGTCGAAGAAGGGTGGATTGTCATTGATGTCTAGGATGTCGACTTTAAATGTGCACACGTCATCCAGCTGCGGCTTCCCATTGTCGGTTGCGAGCACCGTGAGATAAACTTCCCTTTCTCTGGCGGGTTCGTCCCTATCGAGTATCTGGGCCGTCGTGATGATACCCGTCTTATTGTCGATTTCAAATTTTAAATTCCTCTTGTCAAGATCTTTCACGAGACTATACGTAATGGTTCCTGAAACCAAAATCGAATGACCGTCGAATAATCTAACTAATGAGTGTAATGATGGAAATTCGAACCTTTCCTCCGAAATTTTCAAATAAATGAATCATGTAAAAACTCGAAAGAATATTTTGGTAAAATATTATTTGAAACCTCTACAAGTCTTAAAAAAATCTCGGGAGTTTTGATTGTCTTGACAAAGTCTCTAGAAATATATAGAAACAATATTTTCGTAGAAATGTTTGGATATATAAAATATATTTCACAAGTGTTTTCTTTTTTACAATACTTCATCATTTTCATCCATTTTCTATCTTTTATTTTATATATATATATATATATATATATATATATATATTTGTAGATAGTGATTTTATTTTTAGTTAAACATGTTATGAACAGAATATTCCACAATTTCAATATTTTTTTTTATTTCAAAGTGCAAATCGAAAGTTTCTTCACATGTTCAAAATGATTCTTCTGACACAGAGACAGACAAGTCGCGAACTAATCATTTGTAATATATTCTATTTTCTTCCATCGCGGTTTGTTGGCACGAGAGAGAAAAATAGTATTTCCGTTTTATCACTTAATGATGCGGTGAGATATTTCCTTTCGTCGGACGCATATATTTCTGATCTCATTCTTACATCGCGTCGCGCGTAAATCCGTCAGAAATAATAAAAACGAAAAATATAAATACGGGAACACGTACGATGATATGATTAAAAACAAGTTCAAACACGGAAAGTTTAAATTAACTTTTTTCTCCTGCTTGTTTCGATTCGAAAAACGATTACGAAACTTTGGAGATTGTCAAAATGGTTCGCGTATATAACGTTTGCTTTTTTACTACGCGCATAATTTACCACGACGTTTTACGCGTATGCCGCGTGAGACATACATGCAATGACGTCGCGCTGCTATACAATACCTCCGTTCTTGGGTGGATCCTTATCCTCGGCGTGCACCTGGATCACAAACGTGAAACGTTCCACTTCCTCGTCCACTACTGGCGCGTAATTCGAGCAATTGGAAAACACCGGCTTGTGGTTGTGATTTTCATCGGGCTGAAAGCGCAAGAGAAACGGATGGCTATTAGCGCGGGTGTTACTTGGCGCGGGGCATCCCCTCTCCGAAAGATGTCGGGGGGATTAATCGGTAAACTTGGCATCACGCGGGGTGGGATGCGCAGGGGAGAGAAGACTTTGGAGAACAAGGCGCTCGATAAATCAAAGCGCTCCTCATAAACCGAGCGCCATTAATCACGGCGCGTACTCCGGCGGTCTATTATGTCGCGTTTCCTCATAAAAGATCCAACACAGGAGCCCGAAGGAGCCGAGCAGGGGGGAAGATAGAAACACAAAGTGGAAGAGGGACGAAGAGGGTGTGGAAAAAAACGGAGCGCCGTGCTTAGACGCTTCGTAATAATCGCACTCGTTCACGTCGACGATCTAGAGCATGTGGCAAGGTTGGCGCAAGTCCCGCGGCTTTGCACAACGTTACGCGGTCTGTTGCGTCTCGGTAAGAGTCATATATTCTCATAAATTATTGGTCACAACCGCCTACGTTGCGTTACCATTTCATCGCGATTAGGATCGATCCGGTGGTGTTTAACGTACGTAATAGGTACACGATCGACCGACGTGGCGTTTAACTTTCGAACTACAGGGAAAGAGAAAGAGAAAAGTGTGTGAGTGTATGTGTGTCGCGCGAATAACAGTCGATAATGACATATAAAAAATTTATGAAGCGAGAAATTAATTTTGCAGATGATACGCTTGGCATCGAATTAGTCACCAATTTGCGCCTTATCCCGTACCAAAACACAAGGGATGACGTTCGTAATAATGCTAAGTATTCCCCCGCTCTCCCTGGGCGCGCTCACGTTAGACCGTTATCTTCAATGTAATTAAATGGTCGCGACATTAATATTCATTACTATTTTCTGTCCCACGGGGGATAACGATATTCCTGGGTAAACAACATTTGGTAAGAAATATAATCCGCGTGTGCTCGCCGTGTTTGCTCGCACGGTAGAGCACGCCTCGGCATCCAGCAAACCCCTCAGACCGCTTAGAATTTCGCGCAGCACTTTGCCGACGTCATGCGTTACCCCCGATATAACGCCGGCATTCGCTCTCGTACTTTCCAGCCTCATTAACGATAAACAAGTTAGCCGCGTTTTAGCATATTAACCCGGTTACGCTATATCCGCGGCTGATTCCTGCCGACTTGTCCGAAAGAAAATTCCGTCTATTAAAATCCGTAAACTCTAAGGCAGCTCTGCTGAGACCTTGGAAAAAAAACTTTGTGAGGATATTCCAATTTTCTGAGCTCTTTCGTTCGAGCTCACAATCAGAGACAAAATCGAGACAGTCTTTAGACGCAAATTGAAAATAAACAATCTTTCATAAAATAGTTATTTCACATTGCATAAAATTTTTTTTTCTTTGCAACAGATAAAAGAAAATAAAATCTATATGTATAAACGTAAAGAAAATGTCTAAATAAGAGAAATCTTTTTAAATAAAATGAGATTTACATATCTATATAAGTATATTTTGGTACTAAAAATATGACATCGCAAAACAAAATCTTCAAAGAAACAATTTCGACGAACATTCTCCGAATCCCGACCAAATTCTCTAAAAAATTCCCTACTTTTTCAAGCAACAAAAAAAAAAGAATTCCCAGGTTTCTTACGTTTTTCCAAGTAGTAGACACTTTGTAATTACTTTCATCGTCGTAAGTATGCCCGTAATAGCGAGAGGAAAAATCCTCGAACGGAAACGAGAGTACAGGTCGCCACGAACACCGCCATCGTTAATAACGCTGTGTCAGTGTGATGAGACGAATACGCGATTGCGTTGCTCGGTTTAACGTCGGCGTGAATATACTTAAGTGAATCCACAGCGGTGTCGTAAATCGAGCGAGAAAACTGACATCTTTACGCGTGTATATTCGAACAAACGGCAACTCGCCCCTCCCTCGAGGCACTTTGTGTGTGCCGAATTTTAAGCTAACGCTTGCGCACGCAGCCTAATGGTCGCGAAATACCAACTCAACTATTAATTTAATATTAAAAGCGAGAAAGCTTTTGTGCGACGCGAATTATTCGTCATGTTTTTGACCATCATCTCTGATTCACGATGTGGGCTTGAAGGGTAAGGTAAAAGCAATGAAATTTCATAAAGGGGCCGAGTATTAAACCTTATTCTATTAATGTAGTATCTACAAGAAAATTATACTTTATTATATATATCGTGTGATGTGAATGAAAAAGGAGCACTACGCCGTAGCGAACTCTTATTATTCTTTAAGTACTTGGCGTTTGATTTTTTCCTCAAGAAAAATTTAATTAAAAGTAAGTTAGCGAGATACCTTACATTAAAAATTTAAAAATCGCGACTATTTGAGCGTTCCTATAAATAAAATAAGAAAGTAATTATTTTATTTTAAATGTAAATTTAAATTTGTAATACAAAATATTGTACACAACTTGAATAAAGATACGTTATTAATATAAATTATTAAAATATCGGGTCTTTCCATTTCAGCAGCATATAAAAATAATTAAAATTTTACTCTATATGACGTTGAGAGTATTTAATACAAAAGAAATAATGTCTAATTAATTAAAAATTACAGATATCAATTCCATTCGCAGTTGCAGCAGAATTTAATTACTAAAATATCGGAGGTTTAAGTAGTCCCCTCTGTCGCAATGGTCACATCTAAATTATAGGAAACTTCTCTGTCATGTCTATCTGGGATTCACGAGATTAGGTCCCAAACAAGTTCAGCGTCCAATTACTGGGTCTGGCGAGACGGCAATTCTCGTCAGATCGTACCATTTGTCGAAGTCCTGTCTAACGAATCACGCGCATGAAATGGCCCCTATGGTTCTTCGTCGGCAAATTCGCGTTCCTAAACATCCTAAACGCTTCGCCAAGCGAACTTCGGCGTAACGTCAACGATTTACGAGCGATTCGTAAGCAAGTCTCAGGGGCCGCCAACCTCGCCAAGCACTTCTCACCAAAGTGTCTCACGCTATGAACGTATGGCGGACCTATTCATGTTGAATCAGGAGTAATCTCTGCGGCAAATTATTTATGCATGATGATCGCACGGAGCACGCATCACGCCGAAAGTGCAAGGACGTTTCGCTGTTGTGGTTCGTGTTTTGACAACGTTGAAAGAAACGCCGCTGGAGATCATTTATTTTCACAAAACGACTCCCGACGAAATTGAAGTAGGGTACGCGGAGCAAAATACATTTGCTAAATAAAGAATTATGTTATATGTAATTTATGTATTTACTCCCGTTTCTATCTTTGGAGTCCCAAAGAAGGTCATGACAAAGGAAACTTAAAAGTCTTTTTATAAGAAAATATGATCAGCTTGAAGGGTAATCACAAATCACGTTACAAGTTCTATATAAATAAAAATCAGGTCAATACGAGCTGGTAAGCGCTTGAAAATAATGATATCGATTGGCAAAATATAAGAGAATTTAGCATCATGAACTATTATATTATAAGTGCTGGTTTCAAAACGCTTCGTATAAAACAACGAAGGGAAAGTCTCCCTGGCGCGAGTTGCTTGATCAAACATGCCTTTCCATAGAAAAGTTTGCTAAGTAAATTTTGACTCTGACGACAATACATGATATTATATTTGCATTTGCATACAGACTCCAGAGATTAAATTACTATCTGCGTATTTACCGTGACTCGATTGTTGAAAATCACTGGTCATTGAGACGAGTTTTATGCTGAAGACCGAAGGTTTCATTCAATTAATATGATCAATATTTCCTATATGAAGGATTTGAATAAAGATCAAAAGTGATATCGACATTTCTGTGCAAATGCTAACACTGAATAATTCCGTACATTTTGAATATTATATCGAATAGAAATCTACATCTATCGATATTATATTGGCTTGAATATAAAGTTTATATCCTTCTAAAAATCAATTTTGATTTCATTTAATTGCAAATCTAAGACTCTACGAGAATAATTAAGATGATGCTGTAAAAGAGATATCATATTTTAAAATTCGCTGCCTCGCGACTTTTCGCACGCCCCATACATATCCAACGAGAGAGGCAATGAATTCAGGCCCGCTCGTCGATGTCACGTAGAGACGACTGCAGACGCGCGCGGTAAATATTTAAACTGTTCGGCAGATAGGCGATGAAGGAAGGGACAAATCCATTATCCAACTTGCTGGAAAGGTGGTTTATACGGGGATCTGGTTGGATCATCCCCGGGATCTCGGGTGGTAAAAGGTACCCGGGGCTCGGGTACGTCTGAGACAGAAGGAAAGAAGTGTAAATGGCGCGGCGGCGGCAGCGGCGATGGGAAGGGGGACGAGAAATCGAATCAAGAACGAATCGAGAAGCACTCACCGATAATTCACCCTCGCTCTGGAACTGCGATCTCACGTCCAGGTGTCTCGAGTGCCTCAATCTCGTTGCAGGTGCTGTAACATAAAGAAGAAACGGAAGGATGACGATATCGCCCATTTAGGATATTGCGCCCAATAAAGCGCGGATAATCGCCCCAAGGGCCACGTTCGAATTTAGGGATAACGCGTTACGCGTGACATCGTTCTCTTCGAACGGAAGCAAGAATTTGACCGCAAGACTTAGAGCAGTGAGTGAGCTTTTTTTATCTTGTAACATATTCGTCTAACATACCGCGGTACGGCTGCATTGTTTCATTAATAAGTCTAATACATAATTGACAGCATTGTCTCATTAATAAGTCCAATACATACCTGACGATACTGAGATAATTGTGGTACATGCGCATACATTATCGTTTCTATGTAGGTCTCATCGAGTACGCTGAATACTTTAACAAAGTCGACGAAAATAGCACACGCTCTGATGAAAATCTATTCAATAATATATGGAAATATGATTCAAATGTTGAATTTATAATATCTAAGAAGAGCGTTGCTCTCTCTTGTTAAATGGCATAATCCGCTTAATAATTATTTCAGCTCGCATTTATTCTATCGTATCTATTTTGGCCGTACATGGATTCTCTCCCCGGTGCTCGTTTTACATTTTACACGTAATTTAAAATATGAAGCGCGTTCCCCCGGCACGCATTTTTGCGAGATTTAACCGTCACAATCGCGAGAACTCTTCGCGTATGCGTGTAAAACGACATAACGGAAGCGAAATATTAGGGGAAAATTTGTAACTTGCGATGGAACGCTCTTAACTAAATTTCCAAGTGCCGAATGCTAAACCGAATTAGAAATTGTATATCTCGAGGCGAAACCCGGCTGCAGGGATCTTTATGCATCATTCACAACACAATGTCTATTCCACCAACACCGAAGGGCGAGGAATGCAACTTGGAGCGCTATCTCAGAACTATTCATAAGTTACGCAAAGTAGGCATTGCTAATGCGGAATTAGAGTCTCTTTAAGTTAATGCACAAAGACGGAGCGAAAAGCGCGTAGAAGAAAATACAAGTCCCAAGCATGCAAAATTATTCACAAAGACTGTTGTTAGCAACTGTCGTTGGTTGAGAAAAAGACATTCGTCTGAAATTTTAAACAAGGTTATTATTGATATAATAACGGTGCGACAATCCGCTTTCGGTAAAAACGAAGAAAAACGCGCGCGCGAGAAAGAGACAGGAAAGAAAGAAAAAAGAGCAGCGAAAATGCTCCCGTTTCATTGAACACTCGTCGCCGGTATTTTTGAGTACCGAAAACGTTCGCTGTCACTCTTTTGTTAATGCTTTCCGACCGCAATACGTGACGGCGACGAAGCGCTGTCATTCCTGCAGCTTGCGTGGCTCAGCCACAATGCGGTTTACCCGCACTTAATGCAGGCTCTGTCCCGAATTTTAAGTAAATTTGTGTCGCCGTAAAAGCGATACCACTGGAATTGCATAAAATTCAACCGGGCTCGCAAACCGTTTCACGACCGGAACTCGTCACTGAGGTATATGGTAAAAATAAATAACAGACAACAGACTGAGCGTGGAAGCCCAGAGGCGGACATCTTGGACCATAAATCGCTTCCACAGATTTTTTTTCCAATATCATGTTCGAGTTGTCTCTTTTCCTTTTTTTTTTCAATTTCGCAAAGATTGATTGGCGAAAGTGAAGCGTTTAACAATCTAATCGAGCCGTCGAGTTAATGATTATTCATAGCGGCGAGATATTAATTATGTTTCTTCTCTGGGAAACCCGATAAACAATTGTGCGTCGCTCAATCTGTTTAAAATACATCGTTATAACAAGCGCAATTATGTATATGTAACTCGTCGAATTGAGAAATCCCCCGTATAAAACTCCCGATAATTGAATTGGAAATCACCATCTCCCTTCCCAACCCCATTTCTGTCTCTGTGTCAAAATCATTCGGAACAATCGTCGAACGTCACTCGAATTTATTATCACTCGTACTCAATCGAGCGCACACTCCACTCGTAACCGCGAACCGATCCGTCCTCTCAAACATCCAAATTAACACTTCGTCCATTATCTTGTTCCGCCCCAGTTGTAAAGTAACATCTGTATAGCATGCGGAGGCTATTTGTATTTCCGCGTTAGCCGCGCCGCGCGCGTTAAGCACCATACTCGCCTGTGTGCCGCGCGTCCGTTCCCTTTAGATATCTGCGAGGGAAGAAAGCATCTCTTAGCCCAGTTCTTTCGCGCGCCAGAGATCCATTAGGTACTTTGCCCGATATTGCATTCGCCCGTGAAACTCTCGCATATTAGCGAGAGAAATTTCTCTATCAAGTTTCCTCCGTTACCCCCGTAGTGTTTCACGTTACATTTTATATCGCGTTTCTCTCAATAAGGGACCTCCCTAAGGGGAGGAAGGAGTTAGCGACGGGGATTCGACTACATCGCAGAGCGAAATTATAAAAAAATACCGATGCGATGGGTTGTGCATATGTATACCGCGATTATTGCCCCATCGAGAGAATTAATCGCAGCGCGCGACTACTTTTGCGATGGAGCAACTCGTAACACCGGAAATAGGCGCAGATAAATGGAACGATATGCACACGTGAAACGCTAGTACATTCACTTTTTTTTTTTATTAAGCCCCATTCACTCTAACGTTGCGCTCAAATGTCAAAGAGATATTGGAGCGGCGCGTTCAGTAAAGATTGCCATTTTTCATTACGTTTGTCAACAATGCAACGGTGCCTGGGAGTGTCGGCCCTTCATCGACTGGCTGTATATCAACTTCGGTTTTTTTTTTGGTTCGCAGTTAGTTTAAAATATATTCCAGTTCAGAGAAATAGAGAGAGAGAGAAAGAGAGAGAGAGAGAGAGAGAGAGAGAGAGAGAGAGTACATACCGCGGCTTCTTAATATTTTACGTGCCACGAATATTTGATAAGCTAATATCGTGAGTTATAAAAATCTTTCTTCATTACTATGTTTTTGTACTTTCCTAAAAAGCTTATGCGTATCTCACTAAATGAGCGGAAACGCGCGGGATTAAGAAACACTCGCATCATGTTCAACTCTCTTATGCTAAAATATAGCATAAGTGATGCGGATACGCGATCCATCCGTTCGCGAGAAGAGATTTTCGCAAAGAGAGAGAATAAGGGAGAAAGAGATCTCACGTACTCGTCCGCCCGTTAGAAGGAATTCGTGCCAGTCGTGCCGTCCTATATTCTATTTTGTGCCCGAAGAAAGACTCAACGACATTTATGTCACAAGCCGAAAACCAGGTACCGTTCTAGCGGATTACGGATGGAGCCCGCCGTGTTCCGTATCAAAACCATTTATCGAAACTATCGACGAGCGAGATTTATTGAATTCGACCGCACCGCTTTCTCCCCCGCCACGCTTCCCCTCCCCCACCCCCCGGAGGTGGCAACGCGCAACGCTCTCTAATCCGCAACGAAAAACTCTCGATTCGTACCTGGATGGCGTCTGGTATATATACTGTGCAATCTCGTCAACTCCCGGGTCTTTCATTCTTTTCGGTTTTTTCTTTTTTTTTTTGACGCCGAGTAAATGAGAAGTTGATCGCTCGCACTTTGATAATTGCTCTTCGACGACGGATGATCGATTGCGCCCCGCTCCCTCCCCCCCCCCGTGCCGCGCGTCCCGCGTCAGTTGGAAATTACGGGAACACATTGTCTAGTTTATTTAGTGCTCGCGAATCCGCGGGACTTGATAGAGAGCCGCGCCGCCGGTATAGAGAGAACTCGGGTATAACTAATTCACTGGAGCGGTGCTTTAACAAATTCCTCAAAGTTCTGTTTGCTCGGCGTATTTATGGAAATCACCGCGGCATCCGCGCAATTCATCGTAATAATTCTCATTTCCCCTCGAGTCGCCCCTCTGCAAATGAGATAATGAGATAGACTGGGGTCACCGCCACGGGCAGCGTGAATATAGTTAAGCAATGATAAGTTTAAACCGGTAAAAGTGTAGCTGGCACCGATTCAATCGGCGCTTATCGCCGGCGCCTGTGTCCGCGGTAAATTTTTTTTCACACCGTCGTCGCACCCCCCCCCTCCCTTCGCCCCGACGCACGAGCGACATTATCTGCCGCGTGCGCGGACTGCGAAAATTATTAATCCTCATTTCACTAAGTGCACACTCCGGAGCCGGTTGGCGAGCCGTTGTGTATCTGCGCCGCTTAAGCAACCTGCCGCGCCGGTTATTCCGCTAATACCCAAATCGCGTTACGGCGGAGGCGTCGTCTAAAACGGTAATATACGAACAGATAATTTTTATAATTTCACGTATCCGCGCGTGGCGCGCGCGTTTATCTTCGGGATGCGAGAGCACCCTCCTTCCCTCCTGCCCGCGATAAAACGCGCTATTAACTTATCTAATTGGGTTAAAACATTTTTCCGAATTTATCGCCTTTTTTTCACGCTTATTGTACGTAACACGCTCCGTCGCGCTCCACAATTCCGCCGGTTTCGCGCCGTGCCGTACGCGCCATCGAGAACTCGCGGACAAGCGAGAGAGAGAGAGAGAGAGAGAGAGAGAGGAAAAAGAAAGAAATTTATGAAAATGCGGACTTTTTCGCGAGCGTGGATTGGCCGGTCCGCGGCGGCGGCGTCGGCGGCGCCCGACAACAGCGGATCGACCCCGAGAGATGCCATTTCCGGTATTATCGTCGGCGTAGCGTTATCAGCGACGTCATCGGAAAAGCGTCAACTGTAAAAGGATTCGCGTCGGCCCGGGAGCCGTTTCGCATTTTTCATATCTCGCCCGGGCGTCGCGCGTCGCGCGATATTTCCTGAAGCGACCGATATGCATCTCTGGACCGATCGCGCCGCCGCGTCGCGCGCTGCGCCGCGCCGCGCCGCGCCGGGGACACGAAAAGCGAAACACAAAATTTATTCCGATAACATCAAACGCTCATTACCAGAAACGAAGCCAATTATATTCTCACTTTTTTCCCCCGGCGTAATCGCGTGCCGTTCGTTGCGGACGCGCGCGCGGCACCGACGCCCCCCGGGTGAA